TATAGTGAGTGCAAGCCTTGTACCCTTGTTGGACTGTCCGGATAGGTTGCTAAGTGCAGGCCAATCGTTGATGGTTACGAACAGCAGCGCTCGTATGTTAAACTCCTCCTGTTTGTCCTCGTCCCACACGGGGACACCTTCCTTCTTCCACAACAGCTTAAGATCTTCGACCAGTGGTCTTAGGTACACATCGATGTCGTTACCAGGTTGCTTGGGGCCTTGAATAATAATCGGCATCATTATGTACTTCCTCTTCATACATAGCCAGGGGGGAGGTTGTAGATACACATCGTAACGGGCCAAGTGCTATGGCCGCTGCTCATCTCTCCAAAAGGATTCATGCCATCCGTACTCAAACCAAACCGTATGTTTCGTGCGTCCTTTCCAAATTCTTTAAATTTTATGTCGATGTTTCGCCACTGCGAACCATCGGCGGGGTGTCTCAGCATCCAATCCTGTTGACACTCTTCAGCGTGCCATCGCATCATTCTAGCATTCCCCTTGTTCCTGAACAAACGACTTAGCTGTGGTATTATAGGGAAATACCACATCACCTTAGCAGGAATTATCTTCTTTGTTAGCTGCCCGTCAACTTCTCCTGGATCGTCTCGTCTAATCTTGTATCGTAGTGCTTTGCAAACAGGGCATGCTTCTAGGTTCTCATACTCCTCACCGCGATATAGGATACAATCATTCGGACATGCGTGAATCTTCTGAACTTCCAGTCCTAGCGGGCAGACTATCTTCTTAGCCTCGTACGTTGTCTCGGGCAATTTGTTTCCCTCCGGAAGAATGTTCTTGACGAGTTTTAATAAATCGCCAAATGCCTTGTCACTAACCCCATTTTTGTCTTCCATTGCAAGAACTCCAGAGTGGTATCCAACTTTTTGTGCCCCTGCTCGCAACCTGGGTACAACGAAGTTCTGTGGTCCTCTAACATCTTGTCCAATTTATGGTCCCCCTTTTCACTTTCGTAGTCCTCCTTGGCGTCCTGCAACATCTGACCAAAATCATCCGCAACGTCGTTACCATCAGCATCCCTTTCCTCCTCGCCTGTTTGATTTCCTTCAAATCCAACGTACTGAGCAAAGTCCGGAATATTGTCGTCTTCCACTTCATTTTCTTCCATTTCAACACCTTACTCTCCGTGGGATGTCCAACAGTTATAGCTTGGCATGAACCCCGACTCAAACAAGTGGAAATGAATAGTTCTGGATGCAGAATACTCCTTCTGATTCTTACACTTATTGCATGGACAACAAATAAAACCCCTTTGCCTGTTAGCTTCGGCCACTCTCAAAAAATAGTGCACGCCGTCAATAAACTCTTTGGACTGCCGGTCAGCGTACATCCATTGCCGATCCATCTACATGAGTCGAAAAAAAATCGTACAAAAATAATTATTCTTACAATAATGACAATCATACAATAATTATAAGATAATTACAAACTGTTTCAACAGTCATACAATAATGACATATCTTTATTCATACAAAAATCATAAAATATTACACCAAATAATTCTTATTTACTATTTCTAAAGTTTTAAACTAATTTTAATGTGTTTTACTTCTTTTAATTTTCATTTTAGTTTGTTTTCTAGTATTCAAGATTAACTTTCACTATAGTTTTCCTTCTCAACTATTTTATAAAAACTTCTTTAGCAAATCAACTAAATTTCTATATATTCTTTCTTCCCCATACAAATTTTCTCCTTCATCAACTTACAACTAAATTTTAGAGACAAAAAAGTGTGCAAAACATAGCTGCAAATGTAATATGACAAAAAAACATTAGAGGATGAAGTTGGAAACCTTTTAGGCACCTCCGATTTGTACGTAATCATCAAAATAAATTCACTAGAAATTTTGGCATGACCTCCCCTCTTTTTTGAAGAAATTTTGAAGCTTGCTTGGGCAGCTGGAGGAGGAAGAAGACATATATATAGGGGTGGGACTTTAGTCTCGGTTGGTGTTACCAACCGGGGCTAAAGATCCCCGAGATCTATAGTCCCGGTTGGTATTACCAACCGGGACTGAAGTTACGATCTTTACCAACCGGAATTAAAGATCCGGGGGGCCTGACAGGCCCTGACAGCATTTGAACCGGGACTAAAGATCATCTTTAGTCCTGGTTGGTGTTACCAACCGGGACTAAAGATCAAATATGCCCGTTACCCTTTTTAACCAAGACTAAAGATCATCTTTAGCCCCGGTTTTTATTGCATCCGGGACTATCGTGGAATTCGGCCGACCGACGAAAGATGGTTTTTCCACCAGTGCAAGTAATATATGTTATTTTCTCTGTCACAAAATAAATCAACATCATACCGAATGTGATACATTTTAATACAATAAATATACTTATGTACAGATTTATTGTATTAGGATGTACCATATGAGATTAGTTTATTTTATAACTGATGTAGTATGCTTTTTTTTTTTTTTGAGAACAGAGTATGCTTGATCGTAACCACCCCGAGAACCAGTTTGACGCTATGGAGACGCCGCGCGCCACGCACACACATGTCACCGATCGATCTCACACATGGTACGAGCGAGCTAGCGCGCTTCAGGTAAACCCCCGACGTTAATTTCCCACGCCGCCTCATCTCCCTCCCTCCACCACGTACTGCTGCCACCTAACTTTCTACGTGTGATCGATCATGTCATTTTCTTAATCCGTCCTCTGCTGATCCTCTCTCAACTGTGACGGGGCTACATATTTACTAGACTCTAGACATGGGAGCTACCTAGTATGCGTAAGTAGTGGTGAAAATCATAAGATAGTGTACTATGTTAGTACATAGTTATGTTAACCTATCGGATGGCTTTCGATTAAAAGCCGGGTCTCTAACATGTAGTCTAAAAAATGTTAACCCATCGGTGAGACTACGCCTACTTAGGATCACCGGGCCTTGGGTCGTCATGCATGTTCTTAGTGAGTCCAAGTTTACTACTTCATCTTTTTTAAAATATTTTAAAACATAGTAATGTAGAATTGGATTGAACATATCATAACTACTAATCTAGATATGCACTCTGTTAAGATTTGTAGTACTAAAATATATCTAATTCGGTTATAGTTTGTTATATTTTTGGGACAAAGGGAGTATTATGATACTACTATAGAAAAATATCATTGGTGTCAGTTGGGAACTCCCATAGGTAACATATTTCCCAACCAACACCCCTCAGGCGGTATTGATGAGGATGAATCAAGAACCGACACATTTGAGAGGTATATATATGGTTTGAAAAAAAAAACACGGTCTGACTCAGCTCAATTATATCGGATGCCACAAAGCCACCAAAAATAAATAATAAAATCTAAAAAAAAGAGAGAAATGTTCATATCAAATATTAAACAAGTTCATAGATATCGATAAGTTTTCGTCATAGAAACCAACCATTTATCAACAAGTTTATTCCAAAAACAAATCAAATAATGCACATCGAGTAAAGGGAGGTCATTGCGTTGTTGCACAGGAGAGAAAGGAGTTGGAGAGAGGTGGAGAGGGTTCGAGAGAGGTGGAGAGACAAGAGGACAAGGGAGAGGATGTGTCCCTCGGCGTATGTGAAAAACCAACGCCCGTGAAAGGCCGGGTCGGCTCAGCTCCTCGTAAGTGTCGTTTTTTTCTAAAAAAACAATTAGTACCTATAACCCTGTTAGTTTTTTTAATAAACCGGCACTTGCAAGGGATCAAAGGTGTCGGTTTTTATTTTAGACGCGTCTGAGGGGTGAGAAAAGATCATAAGTGCTGTTTTTTTATGAACTGGCACATATAGTATAGTCCTATTTTGACATTTCTATAGTAGTGTAATAGCCTTTTGCCTCCTAAACAGCCGTGGCTTGTTGTCACTCTCACTATATTAGCATAGGCGAAAATACGCATGAGCAACTAAGGCTTCAGCCCTAGACTAGCTCCATAATCTTTATTATTATCTTAAAAATGTTGGATATATGATTTACTAAAAATATTTAAGGTCCCATTAGCTTCTCTCTATGCGTGAAGATTTTCTAGCTCTGTCACTCTGTATTAGCAGCCTCCTCATGTGGCTCCGGTGGTACCAAACCCGCGCCACCCCCTTTTGTCAAGCCGTCATATCACTGCCTCCCTGGCTTCCTATAATCAAAGCTAAGAATCATTACTCATTGATAAGTTGGCTTTCAACTACAGACCTTGATATGTAAGTAAAGTACTTCTTCCGTCAAGAAATTCTTGACGTTCTAAGATTTGTCAACCAAATTATCTTTGTATTAAAATAACTAAATTACCCCTATTTATTTAATTGAGTTGTCATTTCAATAATTTATCATACACTCAACATGTTACTAAGAATCCCTACATATAATTAATTAATGAATTCTTTGAACACTCGTTAACAAATGACTTGACAGAAATGGACAGATAGCCCACTTTTCTAATCAAGTTCGCCACTGTAACGACACGTTTTGTGAGATATTGTTGGAGATGTAGAATGACTCCTTTTCTATGACGGAGGTAGTAGTAAAGTTGTTGGATTTCAACTCCAGACCTTGATATGTTGGATTAGAGGAGAGACATGTTCGCTAGAGTTGAAGGTGGGCTAAGACACGAATCTTCGAACAAATTAGGTGGTTGTGAGATTTAACTGAAATCCCCTAATATAGTTAACTCAAATTCGGCACGTGTTTGTCTCCATATATTTTATCTTTTTTAATGTTCGAAAATTTAATTATTCACCTTTTCAAGTTGCCTTTTAGTTTTAATAGGACTTTAAAAGACCTTGACCATTGATTTTATTAAGAGGGAGCTAATGCACGGAATCCGATTCCGGAACGATATAATTATCAAATACCAGGTTCGATATTTATGTGATACCACGTATGATACCACGTAGATATCAGCTAGTTCCTATGAGGTACAAGACATGATATACCCAGTACCATATTTAGGTCAAGTAGATATCCTAAACGAGCTCCTCCGGCCGCTGCTAATAGCAGGTACAACACTACTACGCAACTCATTTTCCTGGACGCGGAACACTTTTGTTTCCCCGCGGATCATATGGAAAACCGCACAGAATAATCATAGGACCGGTGTCAGGCAGTTACCCACACAGAAAAATTAATTTTTTCTATGCGGGCCACTTAACACGTCCGCACGCGAAAATAGCGTGTTAAGTGGTTCGCACACGAAAATACGCGTCTACCATTTAATCCAGCCGCGCCCACTCCTCCCTTTCTCATCCCCCTCCTTGATTTCTCCCCTCTCTCTGTCATTTCTCTCTTCCTCTCCCCCTCTCTTTCTTTCACCACGAGCGGGAGCGGCGGGCCGATGACGAGGAGGCCCCGGGCCGATCTGGCTGGCGCTCTCCCCGGCCTTCCTCTACGGCGACAGTGGCGACGAAAATGTGGTGGGGCACGACAGCGGCGTCGACGACGAGGTGGCGCGTGATGGCTGCGGCAGATCCAGCGGCGGCCACCCCACGCGCGGATCCGGCGGCGCGACGGCGGCGGCGGCCACCCCCCGCGCTGATCCAGAGGCGGCTAGCCCACGCGCGGATCTGGAGGTGTGACAGCGGCGGCGGCGGCCAGCCCACACGTGGATCCGGAGGCGCGACGGCGGCTAAGGCCGCCCCCAGCATGGATCCGGCGGGGCGATTGCGGCGGCGGCTAGCCCACGCGCAGATCCGGATGCGCGACGGCGGCGCCCCCCCTCCCCCCCCCCCCCCCCGCCCCGCGCGGATCCGACGGCGTGACTGCGGCGGCGGCCGTTCCCTGTGCGGATCTGGCGGCGGCGACGGCCCTCCGCCGCATGAATCCGGCGATAGCGACGGCAGCGGGCAGCGGATCCGGCCACGGCGACGGTGGCGACAGCTAAGGTTAGGGTTTCGTTTTTTCAATTTTGTTTTTTTTCGATTTTTTATTTTTGCGTGCGGGCAACATAAGCACCCGCACGCGAAAATCCGATTTTCGCGTGCGGTTCCGCCACCCGCACACAAAAATAGCGATTTTCCCAAACGAATTGCCCCAGACGGGCCGAACCTCCGCACGTGAAAATCTGATTCGACCGCACGGGAAAATGATCTGTGTAGTAGTACAATAGCAGGCTATAAGCCAGCTATAAACATATTTTAAAGAGATAAAGGAAGAGAGAGAAGAACAGCGGGCTACAAATCTGTAGCCAGCTGTAGCATGGACTCCAAGACGTAATGTGTGTATGACAGGTGGGACCAACGTAATGTGTATATGACAGGTGGGACTATGTATTAATAGTATAGTAAGCAACTATTGTATGAATTGACTATTACATTAACTATAGATGATTTGGAGCTAGTAGTAGACTATGACTGTGTTTAGTTCAGCGCAAAGTTTAGATTTTGGTTGAAATTGGAGATGATGTGACTGAAAAGTTTTGTGCATGACAGGTTGATGTGATGGAAAAGAACTAAAGTTTGGATTCAAACTTTAGATCTAGACACAACCTATACTATTAAACTTGCTCTAAAAGTTAGTTGTCGAACCGAGGGAGATGTGAGGTTCCTAGCGGCGTCGCACACGTTGGAGGGCACACATGTGGTGGGCGGATGGGGCCGGCCTATGGGCAACGGCAAACAGCGGACAAGAATTGGAGGAGATACCGTGCGGACAGGGGACAAGATCGTCCCGTCCCCTTAGCATTCTCCTTTTTAAAAAAAAAAGATTTTTGTAATATAGCTCGAGAATAATATTGTGCATACTAATTAAAGAACTTGGCAGGAAAGCATGTTAATTGATGTATGAATCCATTTATTACAATTTTATATTTCCGTTTTGTATATAGCTTGACTTATAGTTAACTTTGTAAATCAAAAATACACCGACGGGACTCAGAGCAGCATACACCTCATTTTTCTTGTGACGAATGAAATTAAAATACACCGATACACGTTCATGCAACCTTTTGTCCTGCAAAAGAAGTGTCGATGCATAACTACGATCGTACGATCGAGTACTTGTATACTCCCTCGCTCCCTTTTTTACCTTACCCAACATTTGACCGTAAGTACATCTTATCTTTTTTATTAGTATTATTATTATTATTAGATAATAAAATATAAATAGTGTTTTATGTGTGTCATTTTTTTAAAAAAATATAATTTTTAAAATAAGACAGATGATTAATTTTAGGGACCACCTATACATTTGTCGACAAATTTTCTCCTAAAAATTTGACAGATGTAATTATAGTACAATCGTAGTGTAATTACACTGTAACTTATATATAATTACATTGTAACTTGCATGTAACTACAGTGTAACTTGCATATAAGTTTCACGTAATTTTGAATCGTTAAATCTATTACAAGATTTGTTTTGGTGAGGAAGAAAAAAAAATCACAGCACAAACATATGTGTAAGAATTTGTTCCCACAACCTCCATTTTACCGAAATAACATATTACAAAGAGATTTTTGAAAGTTACATACAAGTTACACTATAGTTACAGTGTAATTACATGAAAGTTACAGTGTAATTATACTACGATTGTACTGTAATTACATCTGTCAAATTTTTAGGAGAAAATTTGTCGACAAATATATAGCAAAATCGTTAATTTTATATACGGAAACCCGCAACTGCACTTAAAATAGATGGAGAAAATATTATTTTATATTCATTCTATGAGACGCACACATGCATATACGTAGGTACGTACGGACGACGAACTAATGTCACGCACACAAGTTCCAGGCGTCGTCGGTGTCAAGAAACGACGCCAAGGCTCTCACGTCGTCCATCCAGTCGTCGCCGGCGGAGAAGCACGGCTCGACGACCGCCGGTAATGAGCTCGACGACGTCGTCGTCGCCGCCGAGCTGCTGCCGCTGCAGTAGTAGTCGCAGTCGACGTCATCGCCGTCTCCTAATTCCCCTGCCGGCGCCGGCGCCGCCGCGGCGAGCGGCGCCGTTTCACGGTCGTGGAAGAAGAACCCGCGCGTGCACCGCACGGCCTTGGGCGCCCACACGGTGGTCGTCGTCGCCGCCGCCGCCGCCGCTGCCGTTGCTGTGTCGGTGTCGGCGCGGGAGGCTGGCTGCTGCTGCTGGCCCGGCGGCACGACGGAGCTGGACGACGCCGCGTCCGTCGCTCTGGCGGTGTCCGGCGTGCTGCCACCGCGGCTGCCGGCGGCGGCGGTGGCGGCGGTGCCGATCTTGCGGCTGAGCGTGCTGTTCCAGTAGTTCTTGATTTCATTGTCTGTTCGGCCCGGCAGCCTGCCTGCAATGAGAGACCACCTGACAACATATATACACGATCGATCAAAACGGCAGTAAGCTATGATTTCACAGCTCAAATTACAAATTTGTTAAAAAAGATAAAGATAAAAATAAATAAAAATAAAACAGAAGTTAAATCAGCTTATTATTGTCTAGCGTTAGCCAGCTTCAAATTTTTTTCGAATGACTCGTATAAGAAGTTGCGAAGTTTATATTACAACCCTAAAAAGCCGTAACCAGGAAAAGAAAAAAGTATATCACTATCCACACACCGACAGTACCAAATAGCTCCAAATTTAAGCTGTGAACTCAACGAAATTGATACGGAACTCGGAGTGATCATGAAGTGATGAGATTACCTGTTGCCGAGGAGGGTGTGGAGCCTGACGATGAGCTCCTCGTCGTCGTCGATGTTGCCGCGCTTGATGTTAGGCCGGAGATAGTTGAGCCACCGGAGCCTGCAGCTCTTGCCGCACCGCCTCAAACCTGAAAATTCAGATCGATCGATCGCAAGAACTTGATCAACAACAGCATCCATACAGATCACAATTAAGTACAAATCTCATCATCATCATCTCATGATCGATGACCATCGATCGATTAGGTAATAGCTAGCTCACCAGCTCGTTGGGGGACCTCGCGCCACTTGCCTTCGCCATGGGACTTGATGTAGGAGGCAAGCACGTCGTCCTCCTTGCTCGTCCATGCCCCTCTCTTCATCCCTTCCTTTGCGCAGCAAGCTCTCCTCCCCATTCTCCCTCTCTCTCTCTCTCTCTGTCTCTCTCTCTCGTTCTCTCTAGAGCTCTTCTCTGTCTCTGTGCGGTGTGAGACTGAGCGATCTGGTGCGCATCAGAGCCTCTCGTTCTACCACTTTTGCGCTGTACTTATACATGCAACGGTGTGGGCATGAATACACACCACCTTGTAGCCCCGTACGATGTGGTCACATGCAACCATCCATGGGACTTGGCTGCTACGGATGGAGAGAATCAATGAATACTACCCCTCCGTCCCAAAATATAAGTATTTTTGGTCTTGACACGGTTTTCGAGATACTATTTTGACCAACAATATCTATAAAAGTAGAATGTTTTAAATAAAAAGAGTTGCATGTTATGATAGTTCGTTTAATGATAAATATAGTAAGATCAAATTTACATGATTAATCTTTCTAAAATTTTTGCTACTAATACTCAAAATTTAAAAAGTTTGACTTGACACTATTCTAAAAATGCTTATATTTTGGGACGGAGGGAGTATTAATTATAGGCCCCTGTCTTTTCGCATGTTAACTTTGGGTTCTTTTTTTTTAAAGAAAAAAAATCAGTGCTTAGGAGTCCTTTTAGATTGGACGAAATTTGTATGAAATATATATGGAGTAATAGAATCCATAGGGGGAAAAATCCTTTGAGAGTCTTTGAATGCTAGTCTTGGTTCAAAGGAATTTCATAGGAAATAATAATTTCTATGTATATTTGGAGTATTTCTACTAAGAGGATAACCTCATGTTTACAACTCCTTTGAAAGTTTCAATGCACTCTCTCTCCATTCTCTCACCAACAAATCAACATATTAATACTCCCTCCGTTTTTTAATAGATGATATCGTTGACTTTTAAACATATGTTTGAACATTTGTCTTATTCAAAAATTTCAAGTGCTTTGAGTGATAAAATAACTCATAACAAAATAAATTATAATTACATATAGGGATGAAAACGGAGCGGATACGGACGGATAATGCTCATATCATATTCGTTTTTATATATATTCGTTTTTATATTTTTTGCCGGATACGGAAACGAATACGGATAGCTCGAATACGGAAACAAATACGGACTATCTCGAATACGAATAAGAATCGAATATGATCGGACACAAATACGGAAACAATTTTTTCTCGGAACACGAAAACCAATTCAACTTCTAATAGAAACAAATATCAACATATATAATTAGCTCATTTTATATAAAATGTAGTATAATTTATAAATATTTTTAAAATTTTAAATAATATTAATAATGTGGACTAGTGTTAAGAGATGAACTACTATTAAAATCTAAAAAGGTATATTGAAGGTCATAGAGTTATAAAGAAATGGGGTATGTCTTGTGGCTTCTGCGGATATTCGAATAGCACTGTTCACCGGATATCCGAATTATTATCCGTATCCGACGGAAACCCTGATACCATATTCGTATTCGTATCCGAGAGAAAATATCTGTATTCGTATCCGTATCCGAACTATCCGAGAATTATCCGATCCGAGAGGTATTCGTATTCGTTTTTATCCGGAGCGGACGGAAACTATCCGCTCCGTTTTCATCCCTAATTATATATATTTTTTGAATAAGACGAATGATCAAACGTGTGACAAAAAGTCAACGGCGTTATCTATTAAAAAATGAGGTAGTATTGGACTTTCCTATGCTTTATCCATGAGACATCCAAATAACCACTTTGAAACATTTCCTGCGATTTTGTTCCCTGTAGGATTCAACAAGCCACGATATTTTAATCTTGCGTTTTTCATATAACCTGTGTTTGTGGATTCATATGTTCCAAAAGAGCCCTTAATTTTGAGCCACGAATTAATATGGATAGTTGGATACTGTCTCTCATACTTGGGCTTGTTCCTTTTTGAGAAATGGGAGAATTGGATTAAGACCACTTTGAATCATTGGAAGAAAAAAAAACAGATGAATAGAAAAAATATAGGATTCTGACAGAAATGATTTCAAAACACATGAAAAACGTATGAATGACCGTTCGATTGGACCGCAGGAAAAATACATGAATTTGAGAAGAGATAAAGACTCAAAGGATTTTTTTTATATAAGGTTTTACCTCATGTTAAATTTTCTCCAAAACTTACATGAGAAGATGTATTCCATAGGAATTTCATAGGATTTTATAGGATTCATTCCTTTGATTCAAAGGGTCATATAGGAAAATTTCCTATAGAAATAAAATACTCCTATGAATTGCCTTTGAATCAAATAGCGCCTTAATGAGACATGCTTCTACAATTCCTAAACGTTATGACTTGTTTTTTTTAAAAGAAAAACTTTCTATATATGATCGAATTTCTTAAAAATATTATTTTTTTCAAATTTATAATAGTTAGTTTATTCGTATGTACGTATCCTAAATAGTGATCACAAAATGATTCAGCTTTATATTCAGTCATTCATAAAAAGGCAGTCCCTAATAGGGACAAATGAGCCATTTTGCACGAGGGAGGGGAGATAATTAAAGCACATAGTAGCAAATAGGAGTACAAATGCCGACATGTTAGATGTACACACTGTTCAGCCGGTATATATTCTTGTGGTGTCCAATGTGGTACTCTGCATATACACACAGAAGAGAAGTACTCAACATCACCGCCGTTTCGTCATCTGCTACAGCTTTGAATTGCGAAATGCTAACTGGAGCAGGTTTCCGATTCCGACAGCCCTTCCGTTTCGGGCACCGGCGGAATTCGGAATTTCACGAAATTCGGTGGAAAACCGGTAAATTTTGAATAAATTTTATAAACCAAAATTTGAATACAAATCCCTGAGTTTGCTGATAAGTTCTCGAAAACCGGTCGGTTTTGGCGAAATTCCGATCAAAATCATCGAAATTTCGATCGGTAATTTGTTTCCTTTTTTAATTCTTTATTCTTTTCTTTCCTGGCGTAAGTTTCAGTAAATACATACAATACATTATTTTTTTCGAAAATTTATATCCCAATAGGTTCTATTAATATCATAGTATTTATAAGATTTTTTTTGATTTTTTTTCTTTTTTTATCGATTCAAATTTGAATTTGGATAAAACTCCTCAAAATCTCAGACGGATTTCTGACCGGATTTCGTCGGAATCATAAACCCTGAACTGGAGTGCAAAATTAAGGCCGTGTTTAGTTCGTCAAAAAAAAAATTTAACGTATACGGACACACATTTAAAGTATTAAACATAGACTAATAACAAAACAAATTATAGATACCACATGTAAACTGCGAGACGAATTTATTAAGTCTAATTAATCCGTCGTTAGCAAATGTTTACTGTAGCACCACATTATCAAATCATGGTATAATTAGGCTCAAAAGATTCGTCTCGCAATTTACATACAAACTGTCCAATTAGTTTTTTTTTCTACATTTAATACTACATGCATGTCCAAACACTTGAGGTGAAGGAATTTATGAAGGTTTGAAGAGCACTAAACACAGCCTCTACATTCAAAATTGTGACCATATTGCCATCGTGATCGAGCTAGCTACTCACTGAGACAGGTGCTTAAATGCTTTAAAGGTATTGGCATGTGTGGAACTGTGTCAGTAGTACTCCTACGTAGTACTATATGGTTAGCTCGTAGTAGTACTGCATCTTCTTTTTTTCGTTTGAGTGATGGCTATTTATCGTGCAGCTAGCTGCATCAGGTCTAGGCGCCACTCAATCGATACTCATGTGACAAGTTCAAATCCAACACAGAAAGAGAGAGAAAACAAAACGAAAAAATCATGCATATTGGCCGTTTTTAGTTTTAAACTTCTTTTAAAAAACTTTCAACTTTTCCGTCACATCAAAATTTTCTACACACGTAAACTTCCAACTTTTCCGTCATATCGTTCCAATTTCTTCAAACTTTTAATTTTAACGTGAAACTAATCACAACCATTATCAGTTCATCACTAGTGCAGCTATCACGTAAAGGTGAGTGGAAGAGTATGGCGTGGACTGTGGAGGTGCAGTGGCGTGTGTACGTATATACCCCTAAGTTTACATAGCGACATGTATTCGTTTTCCACTTTACATAGCGACATGCATTCCGTTTTCCACAGCATGACGTTGCTCCATAATACCAAAAGTGGCACTGTGGCACTGACAATACATGTCGCTCTTGCTCATGTGTTAATGGACACAACGGCATCATCGTGGAGGACTAATCTGCCGCAACATGTGCTCCTTGATTTACAAGCTAATTAGCAAGTGGCACGAAACATTTCAGTGACACTGATCGTTGGCTCACTTAATAGCATGAGCTTAATGACAATCTGAAGGGGGCCATGGTACCAAGAGGAATTCAAAGCAAGCATCTCGCTGTAGAAGGAGAGTATATTAGCAGCAGTTGATGAACATACAGAAAGTACTCTAGTACATAACACAACTGAAAGATGCTCTTCGATGTCTGAAGCACTGGGGCGTTTAATGAAGGATGTCTCAGTTTTACAGTGGGGCTGAAAGCCCCGTGAAAATTGCAGCTGCTGCTACTGACATCAACGTGTACCGAATAATAATTCGAAAGAGCTTCGCTTTGAAGTTAAATTCTCAGCAATTTACATGATGAGTGTTTCGGCAAGTAAATTTTGTACACAGGTTTTTCCATGTTGATTGAAGTTTCCTCTCTCCAGCAGGTACAGCCTTTCAGCCCCATGCCATCGATGATGCATAGTTAACCACCAGTTGCCCGTCGATTCCAAAGTTCTTTGATGCAAAACATAAATGTTTAGTGTTAGTCCTTTAATCATTCACCAAATGTGACATCGATACCAGAATAATATCACTAGGTTATGTAATTACTCATACTGTAGTATCATTCATCAGTAATTAGTTTAGAAACCAAGTCAGTATGCTACACCTACAATTAACTTTCAAGCCTTGATGTCAAAATGGTTTTGAAGTTCTCTTAAAAAAATGATAATGCACTCTGCTGAAGGTTATTTGGCAGTACATTGATATGTAAGAACGGATAGCACGGACATCAAAGCTTACATTGTATAGGTCGATTATCAACTCATCTGGATTTGGTGAAAATGCACTGTTCACATAGAGAAACTGCAGGTAAAACAAAAAAAAATCAACAAATTTCTAAGCATGTTGATTCAACTCAGATGAACCTACAAGCTATATTTGTACCACTGTATCCTGGTGAATTTGTCGGCGAAGAAAGTCAATGATCTTCAGAAATTTCTCGTTTCCACCAATCTGAAAATGCAAAAGCAAAAGCCTATGTGTAATTCCAGCTTCCAATTGCATGAACGGATGAACCATAACAAGTTACCATCATTTCACTATGAGTTCCAGGGCAATTTATTTACTCGCTCATTAAACAAGGAACTCATAGTCTCATACAAATTGAACAGAAAATTATGTCCGTAGAACCACAAAATACTAATGCATCTGATACTTGACTAGGGCATCAAAACTACATGGTGCCACCCTCTACAAGCCATGTACATATCTTCCATACTAGACTAAAAAAAAAAAGATGAAACACCATATGACACCACCGAAAATAACCTGATCAAATCCGGGGTGGCAACGGGGCTCCATTGCCATCGCTAGATCCAATATATCATGAGGCGACATCGTGAAGTTACTCCAGGTATACTATTTTCTAAAAAAATCTTTGACTGAATCAGCACGTTTATTTCTTGTGCATACTACTATTAATACTATGAAATAGACATTATAAAAATCATCAAAAATTCAACGAGCCAATCAATCACCTTCCCCCCCCCCCCCTTTTTCAAAATCCTGTCTCCTGATGGATACAATGAAGGCCACGTTGCTGCAGGATGCCTCACCTAACAACATTTTTCTAGGGTATTACAACATAGTCCCCCCAAATACGAGTTCTTCCATCTCTACACAAAAGCAAACTGATATTTCGTGGCTCGATTAACTACATTTTTAATCTGCTGGTTTAATCGGCCTAGGCTGAACTAGCGCGCTACACATTCGCTTTAACGCAAGATCATTGCGAAATTACAGTAACAATAATCGGCATCAGACGATACAACATGTGGGAATCGTGCAAGCAGGGAGCAAAGATTCAACAAGAAGAGGACAAGAGAAGCCCCGCACCTTGAACTTGGACTGCTTCAGCTGCGGCGCGTTGCCCGTCGACCGGAAGTGCACCACGACTGCGATTGCGCAACCACGAGATGGGGTTAAGCAGAAGAAACGAACGCTGAAGGACGAGGAAAGAGGAAGGGACGAACCTTTCTTCTGCTCGGCGGCGACCGCGGCCATCGCCGGAGGTGGGGGGGGAACAGGGAGAAATCCGCGACGAGTTGCGCCCCCGTCAGATTCGCACGGGGGGAAGGAACTGACTCCGATGGATTTTTCTGGCCGATCCGATGGGGGGGAGGAGTCCGGGACGGACTGTTCTTGCGAGATTCCGACTCGAAACTCGAAGTCCACCCGGATTGGGGGAGGACTCCCGATTGGGGTAAACCGCCGGCGGAAACACCACGTTCCCCGCTCCGGCGAGCGGCGGGGGGAAGGAATTCGGAGATGGAAGAGAGGTGGAAGCAGACTTGCAAGACGACGAGGAAGACGAGGCGTGACGGGCAATTGCTGGATATAAATGGGCCGGGCTGAAAGGTGGACGAGGATAGGGCCCAGCTCACTTGCGCAGATGCGATCGGTACGCACATCGGAATAAGTTCACCGGAGGTCCCTCAACTTAACAGCGAGATTTTTTGAGATCCCTTAATCACAAAACCAGAAATCTTCACCCCTAAACTATACAAAACCGTTCACTCAAGGTCCCTAGGCAGTATATATGGGTGGTTTCGCTGACGTGGCATCCTAGTCAGCCAAAAAAAATTTAAAAAATACGTGGGGCCCACATGTTAGCTGCACATTTTTTTTCTTCTCCTTCCTTCTCCTTCTCTCCTCTTTTCTCTCTTCTCTATTTCTCTTCTTCAGTGAGGGAGGCCGGCGGCAGGCGGAGCAGCGCGCGCGGATGCGGGTGGCGCAGCAGAGGGCAAGCGCGGCAGCGGAGCGGCGGCTGGCGCAAGCACAGCGGGCCGAGCAGTGGAGCGCGAGCACGGTCGCGGGCAGAAAAGCATAGGGCGAGCGTGGCGGCGGGTGGAGTGGCGGAGGGCGAGCGTGGCAGCGGAGCGGAGGTGGGCGAGCGCGGAGGCGCATCCAGCCCACCCCAACCGACCAAAGCACGCCCCTTGCCCTTGGCCATAAGCCCCGCCGCCAAGTCGTCGTCGCCGTCCTCCCCGTCGTCGTCGAGCGGCAGCGATGACTTCGCGGTGCTCCTTGACGCGGAGCTCAAGCTCACCTCCGCCGCTGACTCGGCCTCCGCCGGAGACACCTCCGCCGCCAACGACGACTACGAGGAAGACCCCTCCCAGCCTTCCCTCCTTCCTCCTCGAGCTCCCTCACGCCGGCGCCGGCGCCTGCAGGGATGGGAAGCCGACAGTGCTGGCCGTCGTGGTCAGCTCGCTTGCCGCGGCAACGCTGGTCCCAGCGCTAACCGGCTAATGCGTCTGCGGATCGATGCCCTGGCTCATGGGCTTGCGCTTGATGTGCGTGTTCCACCTGCAGAACCAATCAATCAGCACCATGAACACAAGAAGAGCTAACCGGAGCAGATGACAACACGTTGAAATTTGTTTTGCTTACTTGTTGCCGAGAAGGGTGTGGAGCTTGATGGTGAGCTCGTCGTCGTCGTTGTCGGTGAAGTTGCTGCACTTGAGGTCGGGGCTGAGGTAGTTCATCCAATGGAGGCAGCAGCTCTTTCGGCAGCGGAGCAGCCCCATCGCCTTGGGGAGGGAGAGAGGGTCGATGGGGAGAGCGCGCCGCTCGCCCGGCGGGCGGCGGCGGGGCCCGAGGTCGAGCACCCGGCACGTTCGAACATCTCCGACGCCGAGCTCGCCGTCGCGCCAGCCGCCAGCTCTCCTCCTTTCCCGCTGCCGCCGTCGCGTCGACCGCCTCTCTCTCCCTCTCACGTCGCCGCCGTCCCCGCTCCGCCGTCGGCCACCTCTCTCCCCCTCGGTCGCCACGCCTGCTCGAGACTCGAGAGATTTCGGAGAGAAGAGAAGAGAAAAAGAAAAAAAATAGAGAAATATGGGACCCACACCATTGTCTCACTTACATATGGGCCACACATATTAATTTTAATTTTTTTTTTGCTGACTAGGATGCCACGTCAGCAAAACCACTCGTATATACTGCCTAGGGACCTTGAGTGAACGGTTTTGTATAGTTTAGGGGTGGAGATTTCTGGTTTTGTGGTTAAGAAACCTCAAAAAATCTCGGTGTAAAGTTGAGGGATGGCCGGTGAACTTATTCCTACGCACATCCGGGCTGATGGGCTAGTGGGCCGTGGCACTGTTTGCAAGGGAAGACTTTTGGAAAAAGTATACCCAAGGTCCCTCAACTTGTCATCGAGATACAAAATCGTCCTCAAATCGTAAAACCAGATATCCCGCGTCCCTTAACTAATCAAAACCGGTCACAAAAGGTCCCTCGGCGGTTTTGATCCGGATTTAGCCTACGTGGCAGCTGAGTTAGCGTGGGACCCACGTAGACCCCACATGTCAGCGTAATCTACGTCATCACCCTCCTCTTTCTCCTCGTCTCTCTTTCTGGGCGAGGCAAGCGGCGGGAGGCCGGCAGGCGAGGCGGGAGAGAGGAGAGCGGCGGCGCCGCGACGGTGGCCAGCAACACGACGGCGGCCGGCGCCCGGCGGCGGCAGCTGCAGCTGGGAAACACGGCGACACGGGAGAAGGGGAGCACGGCGGCAGCCTCGATTCGTTCCGACTTCCTCCCATCGCCGCCTTTTCCTTTTCCTCCAAATCCAACCCCCCTTCTCCCCCTTCTCCAGAGCGGCGGTGGCGGCGACGACACCGAAGGAGCCGACGCTCCCTCGGCTCGCCAAAAGGTAACCCCAGACATCCCTCTCTTCCTCCCTCCTGCTTCCGTTCTGAATGAAAAAACACTATCGATCTACAGCCATGGCGAACCTGGGCGGCAGCGCCGAAGCGCACGCACGTCTTCTCGCTCACCAACGACGTCGCGTCGTTGCCGGAGCGACCTCCTCCGATTTTCCTGCAGATAAGAAGCAATCGATAGAGATAAACTTGATTTGTTTGTTCGTTTTGTTTCTCTGCTGCTGGGCCATATTCCGGTGACGAGCGCTAGGACAAGCGCATCGCTAGCGCTCGCGCCAACAGAAGTCATTCAGATAAATCAAAACCCCATCTTATCTTTTTAATTTGATCGATAAGCAAGCTTATCTAGCCGATAAATCAAAACCGCGGATATACATAATACGCCGTGATCGCGTCATTTACGGATATGGGATAAGTCCAGGGCAGGCGCATCCATTTCTTAATTAAGCCCGCTAATCACCTCACCCCTAATCGAGCACCATATATGTTTGTGCATTAGTATGCATGCATGCATGCACGTAGTTGCTTCACCGGCCAAATAACATAGCTTGCTCTTGATTCTCTGTAATCTGTATACGCGCGCATATATATACTGGGCACAGTGTGCATTTCTATATTTGCATGGCGCATGCACGCATGAAATGGCAAGCTAGCTAGCCTCCACACCGCCGACCCGCTCCTCTCCGAGGTCATCGCCTCCACCGACGCCCCGGCCTTCATCTGGTCCCTTTCCCGCCCCGCCTTCCACTCCCTCGCGCACTCCATCCTCCACCAGCAGCTCGCTCCCTCCGCCGCCGCCGCCATCTATGATCTGCCGCCATCTACGATCGATTCCTCGCGCGCGATCCCGATGCCGCGGTGGTCAACTCCGCCGTGGTGCTCGTCCTCTCCGCCGCCAACCTCCGCGCCATCGGTGTCTCTGCCCGGTGAGGAGGTCGCCGCCGGCCTCCCCGCCCCCTTACTTGCCCTACCTCCTCCCTCGACGGCGGCCCGCCTCCGCGCCTACGGCCTCTGCAACGGCAGGCGAGAGCGGTGGCGGAGCGGCGGCGGCAGCGCGTCGCCAGTCGCTAGCCGCTAGCCGCCGCCATCGTGTCGCCCGTCACCGGCTGCCGACGCCCTCGTCCTCTCCCACCTCACCCGCCGAAGGCAGTAGCCGCCGACATCCTCCCCAGCTGCCTAGTGTCTGCCCAAACGAGAAGAGTGAGAGAGAGAGAGGACAAAGGGAGAGGAAGGAAGAGGGTATGACGTGGCCGGCTGACATGTGGGGCCCACGTGGGTTCCACATGGACTCAGCAGCCACGTCGGATAAAACCGGGTTGAAAACCTCCGAGGGACCTCAGTTGACCAGTTTTATATAGTTGAAGGACCCCGCATATCTGGTTTTGCGGTTCGAGGACGTTTTTTATCCCGATGACAAGTTGAGGGACCTTCGGTGTACTTTTTCCAAGACTTTTTAAGGCTGCGTTCGGAGAGGCCCCCACACGCAAAATGGATGGCAAATTATCGCATGATTTATTGAACATTAGCCTTAAGAGAACTTTTGGAAAAGATCAATATGAATTTTTTTAAAAATAACTTTCCTATAGAAAGTTTTGTAAAAATCGTAAAAATATTAGCAGTTCAAGAAAACGTGAGCATGAAAACGAGCCAGTAAAAGCTGAAAACATGTGAATTAATTAATGTTCTTTGTTGGCTGGAATAGTCTTAGGCATTGCAGCTCTTCTTTTCTTTTTTACCTAACTAGCACTTATAGGGCATGCTTAGTTCCCAAACAAAATTTTTTACGCTGTCACGTCAAATGTTTAGACACATGTATAAAGTATGAAAAATATAGAGAAAAAACCAATTATATAATTCGCCAGGCAATTGCGAGACGAATCTTTTAAGCCTAATTGCACCGTGATTTGATAATGTGGTGCTACAGTAAATATTTAGTAATGATGGATTAATTAGGCTTAATAAATTCATCTCGCAGTTCCCTGGTGAAATCTGTAATTTGTTTTGTTATTAAACTATGTTTAATACTTCAAATGTATGTTCATATATTCGATGTGATATACACAGGCAAAAAAAAATTGCCAACTAAACAGGCCCCTACATCTATCCCAAAATAAGTTAATTTTATCCTTTTCATACTCTCTCTATCTCACTTCCAGTACTAGATTAAGTTTTTTTGGACGGAGGGAGCACATACCAATACATAAAAAAACACTTTTATTTTATCAAATCTCAATGTAACTATTCCTCACTTTATTTTCTACGAATACAATTATTTTTTACTTTCACAAACTTCGATGCAATAATTACTTAAAAATACGCTTAATTTGGATAAACGAAAAGAGCTAGAAATGAACTTCTTTTTTTTAGTGGAAGATAAAAATGAATTTAATATGATACGGAGAAAACACATGTCAATACACGACCATGTGCTTTCTGTCAATAAAACTTAGGGCAAACTTTTGAAAAATTTAACAATCAATCCTAATGCTCAACATAATCGAACTCGATTGTAACATACTACTCCAAACTGGTTTAGTTTCCAATTTTTTTCTTCAAACTTTCAATTTTTTCATCACATCAAAATTTTTCTACACATAAAAACTTTTAATTTTTTGTCACATCATTCTAATTTCAATTGAACTTTTAATGTGCACTAAACACACCCTCCATTTGAACAGCTTCGCTGCAAGGAATGGACCGAAGTGGTCAGTTTCACTGCAACTCTCCAAGGAACGATTAGGATTGAAGTGGGCAAATTCCTGCCCCGCATTTTCACATGCCTGGTAAAAACGAAGTCCAATAGCACAATATATTAAAAGTACTCATGTTTCGTTTATTATTCTCTCTATCTAAAATATACGAGATTTTAAATAAATGAGATAATTTCTAAAACTATAAATCCAGACAAAGAATCTATCCATAATCGTGTTTTCTAAAAGTTTCCTACTAGTAAAATCTCTTACTAGTATATTTTTAGAATGGAGGAAATATGATACTAGGTTGTGTTTAGTTCACACTAAAGTTTGGAAGTTTGGTTGAAATTGATAGGATGCAGTAGAAAAGTTGTGTGTATGAAAGGTTTAACGTGACTGAAAGTTGAAAGGGCCTAGTACTCAGATTTTTTTCCCCTTAACTTGAAAAATTTTCTGTTTTACCAAGCCAAAAAGCGAGGACGTAACGAGTCCGAACAGGCAAGCAAGCAGGCAGGGTAATGGGTGTGTCAGTCAAGCAGACAGACTGCCAGTGGCAGTAGAATAATGCCTCACCTGTGCACGGCAACCCAGCAAGCAAATCTCTCTCTCTCTCTCTCTCTCTCTCGGATATGATTTTCATCCCATCTAGTAGTAGTTATCACAGGTTTAAAATGAATTAATTTAAAATATAACACTCCAAAAATATATTGAACCAAATTCAACTTCTATAAGTCAAAAAAAAAATAAACTAAACTGAAAATAATTGTTGTACATTCATAGTTATATTTTCTATTTTATTACACTTATAAAAACTAAATTTTAACTTGTGATATATTATAGAGTATACCTCTGAGAGAGTTATTATTTTTTTTGTCTTATTATACCTATAAAATATATAGATCAATTTAGAATGGAGAGAGTATATTAACCTATCAAAAATTTTAAAATATTTTTGTAACTAGTACTCCCTCTATCTACTTTTGATAGTCATATTTCATCTTGTCACACAGACCAAGGATAAGTAATTCTACTTATCATCCATTTAAATATGCTACTAGTTATTCCTCGTAAACAAGCGATTTATTAATATTTATATTTCTCAATGCCCATGTAGCCAATCATGTGTAGAAGAATAAAGAGTCATGTATTAAATCCAAGAAAGTCATTAAGATGATAAGTTGTTGGATTGAAATATATCTATCAAAAATAAAATTTTTACATTTAAAAATATTACTATCAAAAATAGATGAAAGAAGTATTTGAATTTCTTTTACAGAAGATAGTACTACTAGTCTACTAGTAGCAGTACTATCTCTCAAGCTCTGTCTACCAACGGAGACGCCGCACCCCACGCCCCGACAACGGCGAAGCATACCGCGGCTTGACCATACTCCTCACGTGCATTCCGTCAGATTCCGTGCGGGTTTTGAACGTCAGTTTGCCGGCGAGATTTGGTTATCCGTTTTTTTTCTCTTTTGCTCACAGCTACGGCCCCCGTCTGTTCATCTGCAGTTTGTTTCTATTGTAACACGAATTTGTGATATTCGCAAGGAAGTTCGGCTGTGTTTAGTTACACGTTAAAATTAAAACGATACGATGGAAAAGTTGAAAGTTTGTGTAGAAAAGTTCAATGTGACGAAAAAGTTATAAGTTTAAAGAAAAAAAGTTAGGCTCCCATCGGATGGCCCATTAAGTTTGAAAATTTAAAATTTTCAAACTTAATTTTGATATTGATTTTAAGATATTTTCAACGTAGTTTCTTTTTCAGCATTGATTTTTACCTACAAATTTATTTTTATCTTCTAATAAACCGTTTTAGCTTATTATAAAAAAACGAAACGATAGGGCACTTAGTATAATCTAAACAGTCGAAGAATTTGTTACGCCCGGTTTTGATAATCCGTATTTTGATTTTGCAGCAGATGGATCGTCCAAAGACAACGTCAGTCGCAGAGAAAGTTGCATCATCATTGCGCCCGTGCATGCGAGAGCTCAGATCAGGTCAGGCGTGTTAATTAACCTGACACGCTTGACCTGCTGTCCCAGATGGATCATGGGAGCTGTGGAGCCTAGCAGAAGTACGGCGTTAGCATCAACCTGATGTAGACTAGAGCTGACGAACAAATAGAGTATAACACGAGAGAAATGTGCTCACAGACTCAAGTAAAAACGAGCAGTGAAACAAAAGATGTCACTGACGAACAAACCACTCAAGATTAATTAGATTAAAGACATGATGCATGCTAATACAATTGTTATCAAGCCAATGACATTGATCGATGCTGCTACTCGTCTGCTTGTGCCGTTGCGTCTGAGGATTGCAGCAACCAAACTCGCCGGATCATCACTCGCTCGTCCGCAGATGGTCGCCTGGTCGGTCGATCGATCGATCATGCAACAAAAAACAAAAAAAAAACACGCAAGAATCGATCGATCAGTGCCTCAGTGGTGAGTGAAAGCATCGGTCGTGCAATGCAACGCACGTACCGTTGCTGTGGTAGCGCGAGGCGGCGCCGGCGATGGCGAGGTCGGGGGACGCGGCGGCGGCGGTGGGGATGGAGATGGAGAGCTGCGTGCCGTCCCACGGCGTCCTCCCGTCGTCGCTGCGCGGCCACTCGTCGAAGAATCGCCGCAGGGGCTTCTCCGTCGTCGCCGACGTGGCGTCGTGGTGGTGATCCGCCGGCTTGTCGAGGCTCAGGTCGGCGGCGGCGCCGCCGAGGGTGAGGCAGTGCTCCTTGGACAACGACCAGCCGCCGCCGTAGCCGGCGGCGGACGACGGGAAGAGCGGCGCGCTGCTGGTGTGCGCGTACCTGTGGTAGGACGGCGGCGGCGACGTCGAGGCGTGGAAGGAGTCGAGGTGGAGCTGGAGAGGAGCGCCGGCGCCGGCGCCGTAGCTGGGCGCGTCGGCGTCGTGCGGCGGCGGCGAGATGGAGAGCGCGGACGGGCGGTAGACGGCGGCGGCGGCGGGGGGCGGCATTTCCACAGGCTTTCTTGAACGGTTCTTGCCGCGGTGCATGTGCTTCTCGCAGTACTTGGACTCGCCGTACGCCTCCCTCGAGCACCGCCACTTCTTGCCGTCCGTACGCCGGCACCGCCCCGGCTCCGGGTCCTCCACCCTCCTCCCGTACTGCGCCGCCGCCGCGCCATAGCACCCCCACCCCACTGCACGTACGCGCGCAACGCCATAAGTAAATTAAAGAAAGACACGTACGCATCGATCGGAACGAGAGGACAATGTACGTACGGTGATGGGGAGGGAAGGCGAGGGAGGGGACGGTGTCGACGTCGGCGGCGGCGGCGGCGGCGGCGCGGTGGCGGAGGTGGAGGAGGAGGTCGGGTGGCACCGGCGCGCCGGCGGCCATGTACTTGTAGATGAGCGCCTGGTGCTCGAGCTCCTGCCACTGCGTCGCCGTGAACAGGCACCTCCCCGATCCGCCGCCGGCCATCATCGTCGACGTCTGTCTCCTCACCCAGCACAAGCACACTACAACCACAACCTGTTCGTTCTGTCCAGTGTGGAGGAGTAGTAATATTATACGGAGTGGTACACTACGTATACTCGGTCCGTAAAAAAAAAAAAAAGGCAAAACCTAATTTTTCGTGTCCAACTTCAACTGTCCATGTTATATAAAATTTTTTTATAATTCGTATTTTCATTATTGTTAGATGATAAAATATGATTAGTAATATTTTATGTGTAACTTGTCTTTATATTTTTTTCATAATTTTTTTAAATAAGACGGAAGTTCAAACGTTGGATATGAAAACCAGGTTTTGTTTTTTTTGAAGGGAGTACAGTACAGGGGTGGGGAGATGATGAATGCAGGCAGTGTGGAGGTGTCAGGAGGGGGAATCAGATGGCAGGATAATGAGCTGGTGGTGCAGGTGCAGAGGATGGGTCACTTCGGCCAGTGTTCAGGGGGAGGGCCAGGTGCGTGCAGACAGTGCAGGAGGAGTGCAGAGTGCAGAGTCTGCAGCGACGTCGCAGGTGCCAGCCAGCCCTGATCCTGACCGCCTCTGCCTCTCTCTCTCGCGCGTGGGTGGGTGCGCGCCCAGAAGAGAAATCACTCTCCTGCAACCTGCACTCTCGCGCTCTCTGTCATCGTGTGCGAGTGCCCGTGGTCGCGTGCGTGCGTGCTCGCTCAGCTGAAGTGCTGATCGACGTGACGGGCGAGCCAGTGGATTAGGAGTACAGCGCCATGTTAAACGTTGGCACGTCCTGGTTTAACAGAGAGATTGTTTGTTGAGTGAGGGTCTTTGCATTACTACTCACGGATAATATGTGCCTGTTTAGTTCGCTAAAAGAGAACTTTTTAAAAGTCGTATTAGATGTTTGATGGGATGTTGAAAATGGTTTTGGGACACGAATAAAATTTTATAACTCGCCTAAAAACCTTGAGATGAATCTCTTTTAGCCTAATTAATCTGCCATTAGCATATGTGGGTTAATATAACACTTATGGCTAATCATAGACTAATTAGGCTTAAAAGATTCATCTCACGATTTCCTCTCTAACTGTGCAATTAGTTTTAAAATCTATATTTAATGCTCCAATGTATGTGTCCAAAGATTCGACGTGATGTTTTGGAGAAAAAAACTTTGGAAACTAAACCATGCCTAATTTAGCCATGTCAAAAAAAAATCAAGGAGATAGAGATGATGCCTCCGTTTGTTTGTTGCCAAAGGAGTTACTTACTCCATCTTAAAAATAAGAACTTTCGACCTGTAAAATTTGACCTAAAATATAGTGATAGTTTCTTCACCAACAGATTATAGCCTTTCACTATTCAATTTTTTGCCTACCCCTACTCCTCATCCAATCACAAACTACTCCATTTATTTTTACCTACTTTATCTCAGTAATCGTGTTTACCCTGATAAAACAGAGCTGCTAAAAAACTGTCGCAAGTTTTTTTTGGCAAAAAAAACTTTCAAATGTACTACTCCCTCCGTCCCAAAATATAACAATTTTTAGCTCTCAGGATTTGTCCTAAAATATAACAACTTATCTATCAATATTCTCTTCCCAACCAATCGCAACCCTCAACCATTCACTTTTCCCATACTCATCCAATCACAACTCTCCACCATTCACTTCTACCTACTTTCTTAATAACCGCGTCTAATTTAAAACTTCTTATATTCTCCACCATTCATTTCTACCTATTTTCTTAATAATCGCGTCTAATTCTAAAACTTATTATATTCTGGGACGGAGGGAGTATAGTATAGACGTAGTGTAACTACAATATAATTAGACTATATTTACATTGTAACTATACATTGTAATCTCTATACAAGTTAAATATAAAGTTGCATATATTATTTTAATGATTATATACAAGTTATAGTATAGTTATAATAAAATTATATTACAATTATACTACTATAGCTAGATTTGAAAGTTTTTCCTTTAAAAAACTTGCGGCAGTTTTTTAGATTCTGGAAGAAAGATAGTACCGTGGTATTACCAACATTTTCGCAACAAAACATGCATTTTACAAAGGAAAAAAATGCAATAAACCAAATGAGCAGCGTTACCAAAAATCTGTCAGCACTCAAAATCTTACCATTGCCAGATTTTTGGTGAGGTTTGCATTGGCCACAAACCAAACAGACCAAGTTTTCGCTTTGTCAGTAACTGGATACTGCTGAGTGCATCAACTATCAAGTCGTGTGGCAGTAACCATGGTGAGACACTGGCGTTGCACAAGGAACAAATAGCACAGCGTATAGTGGAGTAGTAGAAGAGTTCGTGACCTGCAAGAGATGCAAACCGAGCACGCAAAATTTCCCATGCTGCATCCATCTGTGTGCCAATCTTCGCGTACGCATGTTCAGATGTGATGCAAGCACCCCAGGGGCCCAGACGAAAGAGCGTAGTACGTATCAAAAATTCACAAACACAACAGGCAATAACTGCATACGTAGTACCTGACACAGTACTAGTACTCGGTATCTACTCTACCTAGCTGTATCAACTATCTGAAACTTGGTCTTGGGTGAAACAATGCTTGCAAGGCAGCTTCTAGCAACGTAACCACCGGCGCTTTCGATGTGTTGAGCAGAACGGACGCCTATTTTCGTTGCTGTGTCAATGGTTAGCACCTCCAGAGCCGGGGCATTTTCCACTGCGTGGACAAGAAATTCAGCTTGGCCTTTCAGGCCTCTGAACCCTGTGATGTATATGCTCTTCAGGTTCTTGTATGGACACTTTGGGAGGCTCCTGAGAACCGGTATCCCTGCATCTTCGTAGCCAGGTACATTGAACTGCAATGGTTCCAAAAGAACAGTATTTTTAAGTATAGTTTGGTATATGCCAAAACTTGATTCTGGGTTAGCATGAGCATAAACATGTGAAAACAAGAAAACATGTAGTGCTGATGGATGTGCAATAGCAACTTAATTTAGGGACAAATGTCAGTGAAAATACCTGGAATCCTAGGGACTTGAAAATAAATACTACTTACAAGTAGTACAACCAAACATTCACATGAACATATCTACCAGAGAAGACAAACCCACAAAAGTACTTACATGGATCTCCAAAACTTCAAGGAGAGGGGCAGCCTTCAGAAAAGAAGCTAGATAGACAATGTTGTCCATATCTCCAGAACATTGAGGCAATAGCAACTTCAAATACTTAAGTTGAATAAACTTTGATTTAGTTGACAATAACCAAGGAAACTGAAAATAAAAAAACATTAACCATGTCAGCAGAAAATCTACAAGTATGATATGGTCATCATTATTGACTTGCGAAGTTTTCTTAGACCCACCTGTAGCCCAAAATTAGCATGCACAGTCAGATTTTGCACGCTTGGAAACACCACAGGGAGCACAGTGAGAGCATACTGAAAAGTTATATCACCCTTGAAAACGATATCTGCAACTTCTAGTTCCTGTGCTTGGATGGGATCAACAGGCAGCTGTGCTCCTTCGTAAATGAAAGTCTTGAGCTTGAGAGCATACATTTCTATCTTTGATATCTCACAGTTTGCAATACGCAAGTATAGCAGTCGGGACAGTGCACAATCAACCTTCAGTTCATCATCATTAAGATTGCATCTAACAATACTCAACCACTCAAGATTAGAACAACTTGAAAGTAAGCCTTGAAGATCCTTTGCGATGACCTGTACTAGGTGCAGGCTAAGCTTTTTCAGCTTTGGGAAACCACTGAATTGGGTTGGTGGCTTGAGAGATACAAAACTTAGTTGAATTTGCTGCAAGCAAGATGCGGCTTTTCCATCCAAGAGTTCAAAGGGAAACATGTAGCGGTCATGGCGATCCCTGAATTCCTTTGGTGCTAAATCAAGAGCTAAGCTCGTTGTGCAAGATGATGGACCCAATTGTTGAGATGATCAACCAGAATGCTTTTTTCGCCTGTAAAAGCAACTAGCCTGCTTTGAAATTCAAGTTTGACCTCTAAAGCTTCAGCCATCCGCCCACGCTGCTGTTTCAAGGTCGCATTAACATTGCCAACGAGTTTCTCCAACATGTATTCCCCACGCATTGTGCTGCCATCAAATCTTAGTTTTGGGGAAATTTTCCACAGATGTCTCCATTTACTTGACAGAACGCTAGTCCTTACAGTCTCTTTCAGCGGCAATTTTGAAAATATCATGTTTTGCATATCCTAGAATCAACACCAACACCATAGTTAATCACCATGGCTGTCAATTTAATGGTGTAGATTTGTAGACATATCAACCGAAAAGGGAAATTTGATATACCTCAGAAAGGTCTTCAAATCGAACCTCTTTTGTCCCTGGCTTGCGGATTCGTTTGGGACCGCAATCTTCTTTCTTCTTTCCAATCCTGCAATGAACATTATCAATTGTATGTACTTTTCATCTACAATATCTAATCTATTCAGACAACAAAAAAAGAATGCAAATACTGAAGTGATACAAGTCTAGAAGATAACACTGAATCTATCTACTAGAAAGTAATAAGCAAAGCTTTCTCTGGACAAAATTGGGATGATCTGATCTCAAACCCTCTCTTTAAGATCTGAAAGTATAAGAATCTGCTAAAGTAAACTAAAACAACAAGAAAATCTAGCGTTATTTGTACCCTTCCAAACGAGCAGCAGCAAGGCGAACAATTGAACACGTACTGGATCAAATTCAGTTACGGTCCTTATGGAATTCAATCTGGTTTGAGGTATACCTGAACCTGACTGGGATGCCAACGCCCGGGCACATCCGGCGGAGGCGGGCCAGAGCGCCGCGAGCGTACTCGGCGAGGTCGCAGACGCCGACGACGACGTCGATGCCGCCGACGACCACGTCGTAGGCCGACCACGACGTCGGCGGCGATGAGGACCTTGTCGCCCACGGACAGCTCGTCGTGCTCCTCGTCGTCGTCCGCGGCGGCGAGGTAGCGGCCCACCGCGCTGCGGACGTGCCGCGCGCCGCTGACGATGCGGACCAGGCCGCCGGCGGCGCGGACGCCGGAGCAGCCGTGGAGGCAGGAGCGCCCGTGGCCGTAGTGCTGGCGGCGGCGGTCGCAGCCGTGGAGGACGACGTAGTCGTCGTCGTCGTCGCCGTGGCGCACGCAGACGTCGAGCTCGCGCGCCGCGTCCGACGCCGCGCGCAGCCTCGCCAGCATGGCTTCCGAGCAGGCGAGGTGTTCCTCGACGGCGGCGGCGGTTAATTTTGGGTTTATTTGCGATTTTTCTTTTTGATCAGGAAAAAAAAATTATTTTCTTAAAAAAACTACTCAGATTTGGAGGTTTGGTAGGACCCGCTAGACAGTAACCTCCTCTCCAAGCAAGAAGTACTCCATCTTGGACTCTTAATCAACCAATTATACCTTTATTATGAGTCAAACACAAGGTTTAAAGTCCTATAAGTGATCGGATCTTTTAAGGACTTATCCGGCTAAAAAAAAAAGACAAGGATGAGAGAGAAATGAGTGAAAATAATTCCACACTTTAATAAGTGTGAAATAAATCATCTTCAAATCCACTTCAAATTAATTGTACGAGATATTAACCGAACAAGATAAGGTAGAATATACTCCATCCGTTTCAGATTCCAAGACGTTTTGATTTTAATCAAAGTCAAATAATTAGTTTGACTAAGTTTATAGATAAATATAGTAATATTTATAATATCAAATTAGTTTCATTAAATCAATAATCGAATATATTTTCATAATAAATTTGTCTTGGGTTGAAAATATTTTTATTTTTTTCTACAAACTTAGTTAAATTTGAAGCAGTTTGACTTTGGTCAAAGTAAAAACGTCTTATAACCAAAAACGGAGGTAATAATATACAAAGATCTCATCGTGACTCATGAACCAGATCTTTGTGAGTCGAATATAAGTACATTAAATCTCCCATTGTTCATAATTCATCTTGATTAACCGAAGTTAAATGAACTTTGTTGATTAGTTTCAAGACGATGTATAGCCAACAAATTTGAATCCAAGATATTATCAAATTTGAATAAGTCCATATGCCCACTTAAATTTTGGATAGAAGTCCGTCTACAATCCTAAACTGTAAAACCGAACACTCAACTCCTTAAATTTTACCATGCCATTCATAGTACACCTAAGATGATTTTGGATGGTGTTTTTGCGTATTTGGAAAGCTTAAGTGAGCTGTGTTGAGTAACATATCATCAAATGTCAGTCGTCGATTTATACTCTGTAATAATGTCATACTAATTTATATTGATACTTATTTATAAGTGATGGCGAAAACTGAGTAAAAAGGTACTCAAGTGAATATTTTAACACTTATGTCCAATGTATATGTCACATAGTCAGACTCATCCAACTTATTGCAAATTATAGGAAAAAAGACTATGGATTGTATGAACAAAATTTTAAAGTTCGAGAAGTTGGATGTCCGGTTCGAAGTTTAGTGTGTTAGATAAACTTCAAGGGAGTATTTAGACTTTCTAGAAAATATTGTTCAGCTTAAATTCGAAACCATCGGATCTAATCTCTAACTGAATCCATCGTAACACTGATGAGTTTCTCGATTGTGTGCTTGATGTGCTCGTCGGCGATTTGCCTGAACCCACATTTTATTAATTAAAATTTAAATGTTTGCAGTGTGTAGAACAGTAGTAGAAGTGTATGGTATTGATGCTGAACACATGTCTTAACGTGCCAGGCACCGGCGTGTGCCCGTATGTTCAGTTAAAATCAGATACTAGTAAGTATTTTGCAACACAAGATCACCAAGAAATGCAGTAGGGCTAGGGCCAGATATGTGAAAGCGGACTGTAGAAATTGCATAACAACCAGCCTGCCTTTCATATAGGTCCTCTGTCCAAAAATAAGTTTAACTTTTTACACGAATCTGGATACCAATGAGTTAAACTGTTGTACACGAATCCGAACAGATTCATATATAAAAGTTGATTTATTTTAAGATGGGAGAGTATACACACAAGGTAACACTTCACAAGTTCCCATCTCAGCGCATGCAATGCCCTAATTAACTATGCCCCTCTCTGATGGATAGCATGTTAGATAATTACGAGCTTCGTAGTAGGCAGAATTTTCCCATCAAGGTATCCTCTAGAAGCGATACCAGCCAATCTTGCCGAGTATTCATGCAAAGGACGGCCTCTTCTCTGTGTACGATCTATCGTTAAGGCCTCCAAGGCCGGTGCATTTTCCACAATGTGCACAAGCAGCTCAACATGGCCTATGCAACCAACATATCTAGATAAATATACTTGTAGATTTGTTATATATGCCAAGAACATGAGTGCAGTTTACGGATGGTGGCAAAATGATGTTAATAAAGTTTAGAACTTCGAGGAACTCGTTGGAGGAACATTATCGGATTGGTTTAAGGATGCCTCAGGCAATATGTTCCCCCCAAAAAGAAATACAGTTCAGTTGCAAGAACATTAATTAAAAAGTACAACTAAAAACACGCAACAAATAGTACTGGGTGAGTTGGCACCAATGCATAGCAAGAGCTGTAAGTGAACAATCAAGAAGACTTACATCGAGCTCCAATTGTTCAATGAGAGGGGCAGCCTTCAAAAAGGAAGCCAAGCCGAGAGTATTGCGGTTATCACTAAACCGGTGATGCAGCAACATCCTTAAGCACTTGAGCTGAGAAAACTTGCATGAAGTTTCCACAAACCAGGGTGACTGACATGAGGGAAATAAAGTCATTAAAATGAATGTAAGAGGTTAGAAAGTAGGAGTCTTTGCAAATAGCGCATTCAAAGAACAAACCTCTTGTAAAATGCGAGCTTCAATAGTCAGATTTTGCACGCTGGGAAGTGCACTGGGAATTGCAGTAAGAAGATAATCTAAAGCTATACCAAAGAATTCAATATCTACAGTTTCCAGTCCTTTTGCTTCACTTAAGTCAACACGCAGCTTAAATCCTTTGTATACAAAAGCCTTAAGATTAACTGCATCTATTTCTATTTTTGTTATCTGGCAGTGAATAACTTGCAAGTATATCTATTTAAACTCAACCATTCAAGATTGGGACAGTTTGCTATCATATCTTCAAGGTCCTCTCTTGTAGTACGCAGCAGGAGCAAGTCAAGCTTTTTCAGGTTTGGAAAACCACTAAACTGGAAAGGTAGCTTTATTAAAGATACAAAGCCAAGTTGGATATGCTGCAGACGGGATAAGGTTTTGACGTCCAAAAGTTCAAAGGGAAATATGTAAAAGACATTAGAAGTATAGTTTTGTGGTAAATAAAAAGCCAGGCTCTTTGTCTTTGATGATACAGCAAAACTAACCCAGTTGTTGAGATGATTAGCCAGTCTGCTGTTAAAATCAATTTTGATCTCTAGTGCTTCAACCAGTTTGCCACGGTGCTGCTGCAATACCGCATTAACGTTGTCAATGAATTTCTGAGTAAATTGTTCTGCACTGCACATGTTGCTGCCACACAGTGTACTGCTATCAAATCTTAGTGTTGGACAAATTGTCCACATATGTTTCCATTTGCTTGACAAGACACTGGTGCTTACAAGATCTTTCAGCTGCAGCTTCGAAAATATCAAGCATATCACATCCTGCAGAATAGAAATGTCACACCCCCAAGCTTGCAAGTTCAATTCCATACTCCGTATAAACCTTGCAAGGAAGTTTTCACAAACCTCTGGAAGATCATCAAATTGAACATTTCTCCCCTTTCCGTGGTTTAGCTTCTGATGGCAATGATCTGATGTCGTTCGTCTGCAGGTCAGTTCATTCTCCATTCCAGTACTGAAGTAAAAAAAAATACAAGCCTTACAGTTACAACAGAAAACCAAATGGATGCTCCAAGGCATACGTCTGGCCCTCTAAGGCCTTGATTAAGGTTGATTAGGTGGGATTTGGAATTGATTTATTTCAATCGCTTCGTCATGGGATTAACCGAAACAACCGATGGCCAATTAGTGCCGACTGTTGTGACCCAAGTGTAGTGGTGCTGTAATTTGTCCACATTGAGAGCTAACTGTGCACTGCACTATCGTGTACAGCGCTTACACTTTTGTTTTTCAACAAAAATTCGGAATTTTGGAACTTTTTTGGACGAAAATATTCGAAGTTAATAAATTTTGAATGATTTTGAATAAATATCGATCAAATTCACAAAAAATTGAAAGGAAAAGGAACTCCAAAAATTTTGGCCGAGATATGCGCCTGCTGATGGGGATAAAATTACTGAAATTTCAAAAATTTTGTTTCAAAATTGCAATCGCTGATATTCGTACAATGTCTACCAGTTGCTATACATGCTTGGGCCCATCCAATGATCCAATGTGGGGCTGTTTGTAATTCTTGGTGCTAAGAAGATTAGGTAAGTCATTAGTTCTTGATTTATTGGGCATTTAAAAAAGGGCATCTCTTTTTACACGATGTAATCTTGATGGGTTCAAACTTCAAAGAGACTATCTGATCCAACAACTTGAATAAGATTTTACTCCCTCCGTTTCATATTATGAGTCGTTTTAACTTTTTGCCACAATTAAACTTATTTAGATTTGACTAAGTTTATTAAAAAAATTAGCAACATCTACAACACCAAAAACTTCCATTAAATATTGTACTGAATATATTTTGATAATATGTTTGTTTTATGTTAAAAATGCTGCTATATATATTTTTTTATAAATTTGTTCAAACTTAAAAAAGTTTGTTTGGAAAAAAAAATCAAAACAACTTGAAGGAAGTAGTTTTTAATGGCAAATTGGAAATAGAAAAGGTACTGGAGCATATCAGGCGTACCTGCTGGTTGAAGTGCCCAGCCCGCACGCGCCGGCGAGGTCGACAGCAGGAGCAGCTTCAGCTTGGCCGCCATCTCCGCTGCCCCGAGCAACTCTGAGCATGCCGCCGACGACGACGCGAATGTCCCGAACAACTTCCATCGCGCCGTAGACGAGGCCGACATGGGCGGCGGCGGAGGCGATTGTGTCGGTCACAGGCTCCATCGCATCATTGGCCCGGATGAGCGCGCGAACGATGCGGCGGCCCGCCGCATCCATGCCTTTGGTGCAGGTCTGGCGATTTCGATTTTTTTTTCTTTGGCCAATCTGGGTCATAGGGCATTGGAAGTATTGGATCAGATTTTGTAATCGAGCTTGATGTAAAGTACAGGGGTTCTTGTTCGAAACGGAGAAGGAAACTCTACTAGGATTGCATTTGCAGGTCCATCGCGGATGGGGATCATGGGACACTGACCACGCCGCCGACGAGGGTTGAGCTGAGCGGATGAGAAAAGAATATCCTCAGATGAAATAAAATTTCTTTGTCAGCTACACTACCTGATTGATTGAATGCACGCTCGCGTTTCATGTGAAGACCTCCAAACTCCAAATAGTAGCAATACCTACACAAACCAAACAGATTCTGCACATGTTCATATGAATATGATGCGGAAATATGGATGGAAAAGCACATTATGGACGTCTCATATCACTCTGGCAATTAAATCTTCCAAACCATACAATATCTATTACTCCGTACTAGAGTTAAGAAAAATGCTACAACAAATCTTTTCAAGCCTTGGCAAAGTAGATACGAGTAAAACGGCAACAACTGATATTTAAAAACTATTGCAAACCACATTACCAGGTACTACCACACAAATCAAGCAAAACTGTAACTAACCATACAAACATTGCTTCATATGGAATATGGCCACCCAGACCCCTGGCAAAAGAAAATTCCTTCTCATAGTTTTTTCTTTCTTTCCCTATTTTGGCTTTTACAATTTCTCACCAAAAAAAAAAGTCATTGCATCAGCCAAATTACTAAGTAACAGCTATTAAAGCCAAGTTGTAACCATATTGACAGTACTACTATCTACTAACACTATGAGGTATGTTGCCTGTACAAACATCTCCTAGAGGTAGTATAGGATTGTTAATGATTCTTCAAAATTGTCATTGCCCCTTGTATTCCTCTTCTTGAACATGAATTGAAATTTCATTGGGTCATGGTTTGAAGCTACAAGTGCTGTCGCTGGCCACGCAGATTCTGAAGAAGCCGATCACATGCATCCCGATCACCTTCTGTGCACTTGATATGGCTCTCAAGTACCTCTATAGCCGCTTTCTTCGATTGTAACTTCATTGATGCTGCTTTGATTTTTTCTCGCAGTATAATCTGTTGCCCCACCTTAACTGAAAGACTTGGGGCCTTGTCAATGACATCGCCAGCTGCATGTTCTAAGAAGATCTGCCATATTTCAATAGCGAGCTCCAGAGTTATATCTTCTGGCACATCTATCAGTTCCTTCCCATTCCACTGTGCAGCAGCTATTTGGGCATCTTCAACAGTAGAAATAATTGTGTGATCAACAGCAGTGAAACTGATAGGTAAAGATGAGGTTTGTTGCTGTCCCAAGATCTGCTAACGATGATAAATCCAGCGAAAAGCCAAGGTTGCCCATCTTCGAACAGAAGCAGCAAATACACCATAAACATGACGAACAAGACTAGTGATAGCGCCGATTCCCCCAACACAATCCACGGCAACCGCTAATCCACTGAATACATCATGTAGTCCCCCAACAATGTTATTGACTCTGTCAAATCTACCGGTGTTGATGCTCTTGTTCTCTTTTCCTGTAGATTTCCCTTCACTAGTATCAGCAGCAAGAAGTGCACGAAGTCGACTACAGCCTCGGCTCGTACGAAGAACAGATCCTATGAATCTCAACACTAGAGCAAACCAATTCATTGCTGCCTTTCTTTTGCAATTCTCCTGCGAGAATTATGCAAGATGTTAAAAATTGAGCACTTGCAGGTTACCAGACCAACTAGGCTATTTCTCAGCACGAGGACAATGCAATCAATCATCTTCATAGATAATTATCAAATGTTTCAATGGATGGTTCTCTCCTGCGCGTTATCAACTCTTCCCCTGAAGCATGGCATGTGGGTGATCTGTAAAATCTAGTGCTCTGGGCGTGGGGTTGCTTCTGTTGATACAGTGCTCTCGAAAATAACATACCAGAGGACAAAATGTACCCCAACTAAAACCACCGAACCGTGTAGGAATTTCGTCGAACATCTGGCGGATATGTGATGGCGACTGGGAGGACGTACCTTGTGAAATCAGCGGCAGTGGTGGGTGACCCTCGGGGAGGCGAAGACGGGACACAGCAGGGTAAGCGCTGCAGCTCCGATCTGAGGGAAGGTCGCTTGCGCTCGCCGGTGAGCCTCTCCTGCGGTGGCGCTGCGCGGCGCGCGGTTCCTGAGACCTGCGAGAGCGTCGTGGCGCGCGATTACTTCGTGCACAACGTCGCTGGTTTGGGATCGGTGAGGACGAAGATGGCGGCGCTACCTTACCGGAGAAATGGAGACGGAGGAGAGCGCGCCACCGCCGGGGAAGCAGCAGCCGCCGCCGCGTCCGCCGCTGGCGTCGCTTCCGTTGCGTCGTCGTCCTCCCGTCCCGCCTCCAAGTTTCAGAAACCTGCGTGGGTTTAGTTTTAAAGGCAGCGAGTGTCGCTATCTGTTTCTCCAGATACGATTCCGAGCGTTCGTCTCTGATCTGACGGCCCATGATGCTGTGCCATTGATGTCTTTTGGCTTCCGCGCGCATAAGCAATTCAGGCTATCTTGCCATGAACACATGGATTGCCTGCAGTACTGCATCTGCAATAGGTGCCGTTGTTATATGGGACCGAGTTCATCTGTTAGTAACTACTACTATAGATGCAGTTCTGCAAATGATATGTGTCCCTGTTATGATCCCTTGCAATATATGGAGATGTTAGTGGGTGATTAAATAAAGATAATGGAATTACTAAACCTTCATGCAACACAAATTTCGGAACCGTCGAACCTGTGCAAATATTCGTATTGGCCTCATTTTCCTCATGTTCCTATGGGTCATGGGCTCATGGTAGCTCCAACAAGACAGCATCGACCCCCGACCAGTTATAGTTCTTGGTTAGGATCAAGGTGAAAGAGGGTAGGAGAGACAAAAGAAGGGAGTTTCTCGAGGGTCAGAGAGATGGTTGTGGGTGGCGGAGAATCCCACGATGAGCGGTGGACTTGGACAGGCGCGGCAAAGCGGGTGGCAATGTCGATGCAGCCTCAGGGATGGGCTGACATCAACAACGGAGGGCAAACACAGAGTGACTAATTAGGTGACAATGACTAGCGATGGTGGATTTAGCGACGAAGAGCCATTGCCAGAGAGAGGGGAGAAAGTTGGCCGAGAGGCCTCACTAGCGTCATTGGCGCTCTTGGGTAAGGTCAGGCGACGGTACCAGGGAAGAGGCAGGCCACGAGGAGAAGGGTTCTTGTCACATCAATCTTAGTAAAATGGTGGCACGAGGTTGAGGAGAGAGGAGTTAGGGTTGAGAGGGCACCGTACAAATCTCAAAACAATCTAATTTTTTTAAGATTTGGGAGAGATTACTCTTGTCTTGTTGCAAGTTTTGGATCAATTATTGTGTGTAACTTTTGAAACCAGCTTAATAAATCTATTAATTTTTTTGAGAAACTTGCTTATTGTTGGCTAATATGGTTTTACATATACAATAATAAATATAATACTACTATGCGTATATCTCTACCATTATAAAGATTAAAAAAGTTTTTGCCGGTATTTTGGTACGTCATCCATATTTGAATCGGTTTTTAAGTTTGTTCGCTTTTAGAAATACAGATCCATGTATGAGTTGGATTTTAAGTTCGTTTGCTTTTCGAAATACAGATCCGTATATAAGTCGGCTATAAAAAACTCGCATGTTAATTTAAGATGATAGTCGGAATCCTAATTGCAGCTCATGATTTTTTAAAATAAATATTTAAGCGAATTTCCACAATGAATTTAATCCTAGCTCAAACCATATAAGAATAATAAGACTAAAATAACATTAACTCGTTGTAACTCAAGGATATTTTTCCAGGGAAGGAAAAAAAAGAAAAAGAAGCAACAAAGTCCTTTTTGTGGTACAGTTTGTTGGACTCCGGGACAGGTGTCAGCCACCCCTTCAACCGAAAAAGGCTCCCCTGAGTCGTGACGTGCACTCGAAAGTCGAAAGCGAAAGACCAGCCCACGCCCACGGCCAGCCACGGGGGAACCGTTTCGACTCGAATATACCCATCGCCGCCATCACTGATCCGCCGCTCCCCATCTTCTCCGCCTCCGCGATCTCGCCGCCGCCGCCGCCGCCCCCAAGCTCCCCACTGCTCCCCGCCGACGCCTCCCCCGACCAGGAGCTCCCCGCCGACGAGCGAGCGAGCGAGCCGAGGGGAAGGATGGGGTACATCGGGGCGCACGGGGTGGAGACGCTGAAGCGGTACAGGTACAGCGGGCAGGACCACTCGGTGGTGGCCAAGTACGTGCTCCAGCCCTTCTGGAGCAGATGCGTCACCCTCTTCCCGCTCTGGATGCCGTGAGCGCCCCCCCCCCCCCCCCCACCTTCCCTTCCCCGCTCCTCGCTCGAGTTTGAGTAGTTGATGGTGCTCTGGCTCTGCTCTCTAGTAGTCTGCTAGTTCGTGATTTGTTAGGTTAGTGTGCGGTAGGGACTTGTGTGTGTTTGATCTTGAGTTGTGGAAGTGTAGGGAGTAGCATGGGCGAGGGGATTGAATTTGGTCATACTATATGGGGGTAGTGACATTTTTTTTTCCTTTTTTGAGGGAAAAAGGCAGTGACATTGCATTTGAACACTTAGGAAAGAACCATTTAGCCCATGTTTGGTTAATCCCCAAGTGGGAGGGATTGGACGAGATTTATTCGGGGACGACTACACATCAGACGGCCGCAGTTTTACAAATCTCCGGACGGTGTTCCACAACGTATTAAAGAGATGTTGCAATGTTTCACTAAGAGATGTTGCAATGTTTCACTGTTCCAAATAAATGTTTCACCATAAGTTGTTGCAATGTTTCACTGTTCCAAAAAAAAAGTTTCATCAGAGTTGTTTCTTTGATGTTCCATTCTTCATGGAAGAATGTTTCATTATTTTACCGAAAATGTTTCAGTCGGATGTGAACACTAAAAAACGCATACTTCAAGAGCAAAAACATATGCAACATCCAAAGAAATCAACTGCAGCATCAAGTACCAAATGCAACATCCAGAAATATGAATTGCAACATCAAGAAATACCAAATGCAACATCAAGAAACACTTGTGTGCAACATAAAGAAACTAGCAACTAGCATGGAACAAATCCTTGCTAGCTCGATGCTCCCACCATCCTCACCTTCGTCGGCGAGTTCAAGGCCATCTCCATCAACGGCGCCTCAAGCTCCAGCCCGCTTCCTCGCAGTGCCGCCGCCACCGGCGAGCTCAGGGCCCTAACCGTCGCTGGCCGTATCTCCTTGTGACGTTGACACCACCGCCGCCGAGCTCGAGTCCTCTTTGACAACGGACAACCATGGTGCCCCCGCCGCCGGCGAGCTCAAGGCCTAACCGGCGTCGACCACTTTCTCGCGGTGTTGGCTGAACGGCTAGAATCCGGCCACCCGTGACGGTAGCCCCGCCGTCTACAGCGGCGCTAGCGCCACCTGATGACGCCGTGGCCGAGCTGCACGGAGAAGAAGTCGATGCGAGAGGTTAGGGATGACTGGATGAGGAGGAATGAGGATAAGGTTGGGAAAGGATGGGTTGCGACTTTTGACTGTGGGACCGTCCGGAATTTCTCCACGTATCGGACGTTCGATAGTAAGCGTTTTCGGATTTATTCCGCACCTATTGTGGTGCGAAATTATTCCATAAACAAGGCCTTAACTGGGAAGTAACATCTGGTTGAATTGACCAGTCAAAAGAAACATCTGGTTGAGCTGGTTTTAAAACCATAGCATCTGGTTGAACTGTAATTTTACAGGTTGGAAAGTTAGTTATTTTTTTATTTGCTTGCTTGCCTTAATTTGTTGACATAATTCCAGTAAGTCAGTACTTAGTAGTATGCCATGTCATTTCATCTAGACAGGGAAGGAATAAACTCAAATGTCTCTGAGAGGCATTTTGCATCATGAATAGGACCACAGTGAGCATGACTGATTATGCTCATAAATCAAATTCAATTGATGCATCTATGTGTTTTCATATATTTGGCATTTACTATATCAAGTCTGCTTGAGGATCTGTTTAGTTTTGCTTCTTTTTCTTAATCTGTGAGCTAGTTTTGCTTTGATGATTCACTTGTATGTGCCTGACCAATGGTCAACTTTGTAGGAGTTTAACAACCATGACTGTCTAACTGTATGTAAAAGAAGTAGAGTAGTATGCGGCTACGATTGCAGCTTTCCTGTTGTGTCATAATAATTATCAAAGATACTCATGTATATTACTCTTTTTTTAACAAAAACATGGATGCTGATTCATTTTTTTTTCCATTTGCATGTATGGATCCACACTCAGACCTAATATGGTAAGAATATGATCTACATATTCTCAGTTCTTCCTTGTCTATGGTCAACAGTTATGATGTTTTCTGAAATTTCAGATCACACTCACTGGATTCATGTTTCTAGTTGTATCAGCACTTCTTGGCTATGTAAGGTTCTTTCTTGCTTGAATTTTTTGTAATTTGAGGGAGCTGTTAAAAATATCAGCTGCTAATGCCTAATGCCCTAACTTTGATATCTTCTAATGCATTACATGTTTCGTGTTATTTAACGCCCGTTCTTTTCATGCTTCATGTTATGTTGCACCCATTCTTTTCTTGATAGAATATTAATTTCGCAGATCTATTCGCCCCACCTCGACACAGCTCCCCCTAGGTGGGTCCATCTTGCCCATGGATTACTTCTCTTCTTATACCAGGTTTGTGAAACATCTTGAGATTGCAAGTAGTAAAAGAGTTCTGATTTTTTTTTCTGTATATGTTTACCGTATGCATTGTGTTTCTAATATATCCAAATAAACTGGAAATCATAATGCAGTTGTTCATCAACTTGATTTTATGAACTATGCTCCTGCCTTGCATTTGCTTTAATGGTATTGTATTGTACCTTTCCTAGACTTTTGATGCTGTTGATGGTAAACAAGCAAGGCGCACTAGCTCATCAAGTCCTCTAGGAGAACTTTTTGATCATGGTAATGTGTTAAGGTTTAATGCTCTTTCCACACCCACATGTCTATCTTATACTCACAATATGCAAATTTGTCATTTTACAGGATGTGATGCTCTTGCCTGTGCTGTAAGGATTCCTAAGCCATCTCACCTATATAAATCACTCTGTTCTATACTTCTATATTGACTGATTTGATCCCTGGTTAGTTTGAAGCATTAGCCCTTGGAAGCACCTTGATGTGTGGAAGGTTTACTTTCTGTTTCTGGGTGATTGCTGCTGTCCCGTTCTATCTTGCAACATGGGAACAGTAAGTACTTTGGAACTCAGTTATCCTGTGATTACTGTATATTTCCTCAAAAACTGCTCTCATCCTTTTCTTTCCAAGAAGGATGTTGCTTATTGTAGCAACCACTGAGCCTTTAGACGTACTGTTAGTCTATACTAATCTTCTTGCTCTGATGAAGATTAAAGGTTTGTTCAGTTCATTGCCAAAAACACCTTAACATTTGTTGGTAAAGCCAAAATTTGACAATACCAAAATTTTGGCAAGATCAAGATGTGAATGTGGTGTTTAGTTTGACACCTTACCAAATTTTGATATAGTTTCGTGAGTAGAAGTTTCTAAGGTTACCAAATGTTGGTAGAAATTGAGAAGGTTGCAATGGTCCATACCAAAATTTGGTATGGTTGATTTTGGCAATAGACTGAACACGCCCTAATTTAGTGGGACAATACCAATCTTTTCTGTAAGTCTGTGTTATATGTCACACATGTGGATCTGGAGTCTGGACCTATCATGTAAAAATTTGCAGTATGGCTTTTCTGAAAGGTTCAGTGGCGAACAAGAATATTTCCTAAAGAGTGAAGTGCACGAGCGGTCCTTAAACTTGTACAAATATATCATCTAGGTCCCTAAACTCTCAAAATGCATTTTTGGGTCCCCAAACTTGTCATGTGTGTCATATAGGTCCAAACGGGCTCCAGCCCACTCCGTGAGATGACGTGGCATGCCACAGTGACGCTTACGTGTTAGTGCGATCCACATGTCAATCATGTAGAAAAAAATAAAATTTAAAAAGAGAGGAGAAAATGATGTTTTTAATTTTGAAAAAATAAATGGAAAAAGACATGAGAAAAAATATGTTCTTAACTTTTTCTATATGTGGCTGACATAATAGTTCTACTGACACATAGGCGCTACCATGACATGCCACGTCAGCACACGGAGTAGGTTGAAACCCGTTTGGACCTACATGACACCCGAGACAAGTTGAGGGACCCAAAAATTCATTTTGAGAGTTCAGGGACCTAGTTGGCACACCCACACAAGTTTAGGGACCGCCCGTACACTTTACTCTTTCCTAAAGTTTTGAGAAGCTAGCTCTGTAATGTTTAAGTTAATAAGCTGTTTTCTCATTTTGCTTTGAAATAATGTGACATAACAAAATGCAAGAGAACATACTTGGAGAAAAAAAAATGGCAGACCAAATGTCTGTTTTTTTCAATCACTATATATGATGATTATCTGCTTTATCCTGTTTCCATGATGTAGTAAATGTTACCTTTCCAGTTTGTGTAACATCTTGGGTTCTGTTTCTTCTAATTCTGTCAATAGAAAAGTTTTTAACTGATGATTACATACATGGATATTTGCTGGCTCAGCTTGTAACAAAACCTACTAGTATTAATTACTAAAATGTCTGGCAAATGTTCTTTTTCTTCAACTTTAATTACATTAATACATTCATTAATTCATTGATTCACAGATGGTCTGACTATTGTTTATTGACATTTGCTATTCTCATGCCACCAGCTTCTTTACAAATACACTTATTCTTCCTTTAATAAATGGACCTACGGAGGGCCTGATGCTGATATATCTATCCCACTCTTTTACCTTTCTTACTGGTAATTTCTGTAATAAACTAACACATTGTGCACATTTATTCTATGGATCTTTGTTGCAATGTTCTAGTGTAAGCACTTGTGTTATAGAAACTTTTGTGTCCCAATATAGGCGCTGAATGGTGGGCACAAGATTTTCGGAAGTCGATACCCCTTTTAAGTTGGGTACCCCTTCCATTTATTCCAGGTACGTTTTTTCAAGCACAAGAAAATACTTATTTCCATTCTGTATGAACATAATCACATATTTACTATCAGCTTTGACATCAACTGGCACATGTTACCAACGAACTGCACAAAAGACAACAAAATTGCCACTAGAATTATTTCTGATTTTTTTGTTTCGATTGTATCAGATATCCCCTTATACATTATTGTGATGATTCTTATGATCCTGTTTGCCGTAATCCCTACCATTGGATCCAAGTGAGTGTAAATTATCTTTCTTATTCTTTCTGAAGTAACTTTTGCAGCAGCTCCACAGCATGAAATAAGATTAACAAATAGCACTCATGTACCATATATCTTTTGACTCATCTTTTCTTACAAACAATTGATTCTTGCGTAGAATTTGGTCCATAAGTATCAAGTTCATCTTATTAATGGTTGCTATTTTCTGTTACATGAATCGGTGCCTTAAGTGACTTTTTGTGGCACTTTCCATAAGATGTAAGAGTAAAAAGCAGCACTGTTCTACAGTGTCTTCTTACCTATCATTACTTAATGAGATCTATTCTCCTGTTGAATAGTGTCAGCAATGTCCAAAAAGTAGTTGAAGCAAGAAAAGGAAGCATGGTATTGGCATTGGCAATGGTAAGCTTATTGCATTTTTTTTCTTATGTAGTAAGACTAGAAGTTGGAAACTTTTGAAGCTGTAGAACCGTGATAGTCCTGTGTGTTTTTGGAAATTCTAAGCCATTCATTTATGTCTATGAATATATTTTTCCCTGTTAGGTCTGTTTATCTTGTGGTATGAATGCAGAAAATTTAATAAACAACTTCTCATTACAAATCGAATCGGCCCTGAGTTCTTGTAAAATGTCAAATTCATCTTTTATAGCTGTTAATTTCAATTTTGTTGCATCGTAAGCTTTATCTTAAACGGGCGCCCAATGTTCTTAACAATGTGTTGTTGGATAGTTGGCAAGATTGTAGCTGCTTGGGCAGTGTGTTTTCAACAGACAATGAAACAAGATCTAGTAGTACATATTTTCAAGTTCTCAAACAATAAGACAAGACCTAGGAGTACATATTTTGGAGCTTGTTGAGTGAATCTTGTTTTATTTAAGAAACAACTGTTTAACAGGGCAAAGCATTCGTGCATCTTTAAATACTGTTGTAAGCTCTTTTTTGGTACAGCACATGATAGCATATCTTCATCTCGATCATTATATGCCCCTGATAATAATCTTGCTCAAGCCTTCAATAGAAAAATGATGGCATGATTTAATCTGTCCTAACCATGTTATTATAAAGTTTTTTCAGTCAACATATATGAAATATCTATTTATAGAACAACATCCTTTTTTTTATAAAATTCCTACAGAGCCTGATGTTCTTAAAAAGAATGTTACTTTTCTGAAGTACAACATATGAACAGTTCCAATAATAACAGACCATATGACTTTTGCTTTCATCTGATCATCTCAGCAGATAGCAATTCTTACTTTATATATATATTTATTTGGCTTGCAGCTCCTTCCTTTCATTGCATTGTTAACTGGAGTTGCTGTCTGGTATGGATATCAGTAATCTTGTTGTTTATTATTATATGATGCAATGCTCTGAATGAAATACTTAGGATTCTGTATATTATTGTGCAGGTCTTACCTCTCTCCTTCAGATATTATGAGGAATCAGCCACATCTGCTTGTGATCGGAACTGGTTTTGCTTTTGGATATTTGGTGGTAAGTTTTTAATTTGTTTTGCCCCTAGCATGGATTTTAATCGATGGTTTAACACAGGATTCTACCTCCTTCCTCAGTGCGCAATCACCAATTCACTGGAGCAGCCACTGTCATACCCATTGTTGTCATGCTTATCAGTTCTAACCACATGGTTCCTGCTAGGCCTTGCCTATCCTTAAAAACAGCCACCTGCTATGAGTTCAAATTTCAAAGCAACCAGGGGCACTCCATGCTCCAGTTCTCTTCACTATTTCAGCATTCTTCATGCTTCAGTTAGTGAGAGCCTGAGAGGGCACCAAGGACAAAAATCGTTTTTGAAACCAGCCTTGTTTCAATACCTGAGGGGTGTCAAGTATCCAGTTTTAGAGTTTAGAGTCAAAATGCGGCCTGCTAAGAGTTTAGAGTCAAAATGTGGTCTGCTAAGAGCAAGTAAAAACTTCCTACATTTTGGAAATGGATCTTTGTTAGTAGGTTACTAGAAAAACAATAGGCTGCTTCAATCAGGTTTTGATCAACCCATCTAACCTATAAAAATACTATAAACTATATGAAATAATGACCAAATTATACAGAACTGTGCAGCAGAATTGCAAAGGGTCCATATGCAGATAAATCAGGCCAATGGTATTTGGGCATTTGTATCACTGTTGTCTTGTGGCAGCAATTAGTTACGCAACTGAACATGCCTGCCATCAGCTGACCTTGCCTTTTGATCTGGAAAGGGTGGTAAACTGAATACTGTTTAGCTTGTTTTGTGGACGATATATCATATTGGATATTCTTGTGTTCATTAAATGTGGATCAGCATTTCATCAACTTGCAGTTCCTTAATTACTTTCTTATAGTTTTCATTATAGTTTTCATCTTTGCAAAACTTTCTTATGATCTACTTTGATCTATCTGCACAGCAGTTATAAGTCTAGGAATTTTTATCTAACCATCACAAATCACTAATTAGGTTATATCTAACCATCCAAGTTATATTGCGACAATTAAAAACTTGATAGTCCCATTATCCGCCTGGATTTTTATGAAAAGCATTTATGGCTAACATGCACAACATATTGGTACTGATATACTGTTGCTGAAGAAGCACCTAATGCCACTTGGTTCACCTAATGTGCCACTGCGCTTTGTTCTTTACTGAATAGTGATGGAGCATTTTTCTGTAGAGTGAGATTTGCAAACATAGTGCATAATACTAATCTACCATCATCCTTGTTTTTCCTTCCTGGAATTAGTGCTCATATTTTGAGTTGCCATGCATGGACAGGGAAGGATGATACTTGCTCATTTATGTGATGAACCCAAAGGTCTCAAAACTGGAATGTGCATGGTATGTCCATACTCCATAGTTCCATGTCTTGTTTCTATCTGCACATCACGTGTACATGAGTCACTTGAAGTAAAATACCAAATATCTCTTATTTCAGTCTCTGGTGTTTCTTCCTTTCGCTATTGCAAATGCTCTCACAGCAAAGATCAATGCTGGGTAATTTCTTTTATCTTTGTTGCCCCTAGTACTGCTAATATTTCAGGTGAACCATTTACGCGGATCCATTAAACGATATATCATTATTACTATTGCCAGGATTCCTTTAGTTGATGAGCTGCTGGTTCTTTTCCTGTATTGCGCATACACAGGTGAACTGATTTACCTTAATTATTTATTTTTGGTGTGAGATTGCTGAAGTACTCGGTCTTAGTTTCATTGTATGATCACTCATTTTTGTGGGAACCTGTTGGCTTGGTTGACATTAATCTTCTGTTTGTTCCCTTGGATTATATATCGTTGTATGTATTGCAAAGTCCGGAATCTAAAGTCTCATGTAGATATGCCTATGTTTTATTGATGGACTGGTTTCAGGTTAATGGCTAGTGTTGGCCTAGTTTGCTCACAAGCGCAAAAACTTTTTTTAAAAAAGAAATCCTGCATCATCTGTTACAGTGGAAAACTCATTATGGTCCTCTTTTTATCAATTGTGTGATGCATACTCCACAGTATTCTATTAACAGTATACACGTTATAGATTGATGTCAACTTCTAGGTTTACCTTCTGCTTGCTGCTTTTATAGGTTTACAACCAACACGTAGTCTTAGTGTGTTATTTATTTGTGCAGTGGGCCTTTACCTGCATCTTGCCGTTTCTGTTGTGCATGAAATCAAGGATGCTCTTGGAATCTATTGCTTCAGGTCTGTAAATCTATTTGTTATCTTCCTATACTTAGGAAGTAACCTGTCTCATCAACTTCTTTTTTTCCTTTTGCTTTTTTGACAGGATAACTAGAAAAGAGGCTTGAATGTGTTCTGAGTTCTTACATAGCAATAGGAGGCATTCTGTCACCTTGTTTCGTTCCAGATATTTTTGCCTTTGGCCATACCAAATCTCATCGGTGTGCATCCTGGGGTCCTGCCCCTTGAACACCACAACAAGCAGTCGTTTGATCTGTTTGATGCAGATGGATACTTTTGGAGTGTAATGCAGAAATATCTTTAGTCCTATATATGTACATGTTGTACACCCAGCTTTTGACGTACTTTTGGGTTCCATAGTTAAGGAATCGATAGGTTTTGTACTATTTAGATGACAGGAGGATGAACTATTATTGCAAGTGTGGAGTCGTGCCTTGAGCAAACAAAAGCGTTCCATGATTGTAGCTGGTTAATTTGCATGTCTACCATAATGCGTCACCTGTTGTTTCGGCGCCACATTACTGTATGTTTCTGTTATTTTTTTAAAAAGTCTGGTTGAACTCCAGTCTCCATGGCTCAGACGAGCATAATGGTGCAACTGCCCAGGAATTATCACTGACAGATTGCAGCTAAGCTCCAACAGCATGAGCAAGCAGACAGAACCAGTCAATGCCACCAAATCTATGCATTTTACGAGCACAAGCCATCTACTATAATCACAATTAGGTGAAACCCCGCGTATTGTTGCGGGAATTTAGTATGATAACAAAAAAAAATAACGTATAAGATAGCTAGATAACATCAGATTAAGTAAATTAATGTAGTTTATGATAATTTAAATTTAAATAGTATGTAGAATGGTGATTCAGTATGACTTTATGGAAGAAGAAAAATAGGGATATAGTTTGGACCGTAGAATAATCATCTAAAGGCTAAAAACAATTGATGTGATATGACTTAATTAAAGGAAAAAAAGGAGAAAGATAATTTGGACCATAGATTAATCATTTAAGTACTAACTAAGTGAGGATGAACTATATAAGTATATAGGATATCATAAAATATAATAAAGATATACATTGAAACATTATATGAATTATGTTGGATGATAATTTAACATGTTTATATTTGAAAAGCTCTTAAATTATAATAGCTATAAAGATATAGCATGTTTACATGATGTTTAAATGTGATGATTGTTAGTGGATGATAATGTGGCATCTTGTTAATTAGTGGATTAATAGATGATGATGTGGCATTTTGTTAGTGGATGATGATGTGGTATTTTGTTAGTAGATGATGATGTGGCATCTTCACATGTCAAGCTTAAGAAGTTAGTAGAGTAAGATAGGATTCAGTTCTTCACTGTCACGAAGAATTACAGCACGAGCAGAAGGGGAGGAGCAGTTTAAGAAGAGCCGGTGCCCGGATGACTGCTGCTTCAGTTCAGAATCCTGTCTGAAAAAATACAACTACAGCAGTATACTAGTGTTGATCAGAGACAGGTTTAGCTGTTCGATCCGAGTATCATATACTGTCCATTTTTCGCCAAAGGTTTCGTTTCTGAACTCGTGTTGGAGTACAGGATTACAGATAGTAATCCTTTTCTCTGAACTGACACAAGGATCAAACAGAAGTGGGCGACTGGGAATAGTAGTGTTTCCTGCGAAGAATCTGTGAGATGCTCCTGCTCCACAAAGCACGCATACAGCTCTTCCCTCTGAGTTGACTCGTCCCTGATCGAGCTGAGCTGCCAGCCAGCGGCAAAGCGCTCACTCTGCAAGTACCGATGCACAACGGCGACGGCTAGAGACGCTGGAGACTGACATTTGCAATAGTTGCAGCCTCGCTTCTGGGCTTCGCTTCGGCTCCGTGGAAGAAGAAGAAAAACTGAATAAGAACATACACAGCCCAGTGTGGCTCAGCGAGGCAACAGTTCACGCTTCCTTCCCTTGCGCGACAGGTGACGGCAAGGCTGTGGCGACCGGCGAGATCGACGGAATCGACCGTGGATTCATATTCATATGATCATATCCTTTCTGGACGAGCTGGCATGAACTTGGCAGTGGACAGCTCTTACTAGGCCCTGCTGTTCTTATAAGTTACTAAGAGCAAGTATAATAGTAAGCTATAAGCCGGCTAAATGCTAAGGTGGAGAAGAAGGAGAGGAGAGAGAGGAGAAGCGGGCCATAAACTTATAGCCGGCTTAGACACAAGAACCAAGAAACTATGTAAGAGAGACAAGTAGGCCATGTATTAATTGTAAAGAGCTAACTATTATATGGGCAGGCTAATAGAAGTCTACAAAGAACCTTATAACCAACAGGTCGGCTGTATTATTAACTTTGCTTTAATTACTGGATTATCATGGGCAATCTAACACGCTACTACCTCTGTCCTAAAATAAGGTTGCGTTCGTTTGGGTGGTAGGGAGTGAGAATGCACATCATTTTCCGCACGCACGCTTCCCAAACTACTAAACGGTGTGTTTTTTGCAAAAAATTTCTATATGAAAGTTGCTTTAAAAAATCATATTAATCCATTTTTGAAATTTAAAATAGTTAATACTCAATTAATCATGAGTTAATGGCTTACCTCGTTTTGCGTATCTTCCCAATCTCCTCAATCCCCTTCTACTCAAACACACCCTAAGTGCAGCCATAGATATCCGTGTTCAATGTTTTGACCATCCGTCTTATTTGAAAAATGTGTGAAAAAATTAAAAAAAATAGTCACACATAAAGTACTATTCATGTTTTATCATCTAATAACAACAAAAATACTAAACATATTTTTTTAAATAAGACGAATAGCCAAACGTTAGACATAAACAGTGTAAAAACTACACTTATTTTGGTACGGAGGGAGTATAAACGATGCGATTTTGAAGTAACTCAAATATCTGTAATAGTTAATACTTAGTTAATTATGTGTAAATTGATTGTCTTCTCCAATAAGTGGCTAATCACCTTAAACGCAGAAAGAAAACTGGGTATATCACTATGCGTCGCAAAGGCCAACCTTTACATCTCCCACACCGCTGTGTTTCCTTCCCCTCGCCATCGCCGGCTAGCATCGCGAGCATGGATCTTGGAAGACGCATTTCCCACACCGCTGTGTTCCCCTTGTACAGTGCATTTCAAAATTTTAACATCAAATTGAAGGCAAAGACACATGTACGAAAACGCCACTAACCGGTGGGCCCGATAAATCGTTGTCACAGCGACATGTCGGTGAAAGAAAAGAAAACGAAAAAAATGAACAGTACAATGCTAAAAAGCTATGTAATGACTTGTACTCCATCCGTCCTAAAGCATAACAACTATTGGTCTTAAAAATTTATCTAGAATATAAGAGCAACTCCAATATTCTCCACATCTCAAAGTATAAAGAAATTTGGTTGGGTGATATATATCCTAGCACGTTCAGATTTGTAGCAGTGGAATATATATCATTTAACTAAAATATTTTATATTTTAGGAAAGAGAATATAAGACTAAAATCGGACCCTCATAGAATGAAATAAAAGACAAACTGAGCACACTGTGAGAGTCGGACGATGTGTCTAAGTGAAAAAAAAATCGGTTTTCAAACTGAAGTCGACCACAACCGAATAAAAATATTCTCCATCCGGTTGCGCAGCAGCGGCAGTAGGAGGCAAACGCTAGTGAGATCGGCATTTTCTTCATGTGGTTCCCACAAATTGAAACCAAAATTTGGTTCATTTACATGGATCAAACTAGTCGCACCAAACACGAGAGGTATACTATCAACTTCAACACATACATTCTTTTTTTAAGACCAATCACAACCTTTTATCACGCAAAATTCCCTACCAACCTTATATTCTCGATCAATCACAATTCTTCCCATTTAATTCTACCATTTTTCTTAATATTTATATCCAACTCTATATTTTTCTATATTTTAGAAGACAGAGGTAGTAACTAGGAGTAACTCTATATTTTTCTATATTTTTGTCGTGCCATATAGCCGCCCAGCCATCCACGGAGCCAAACAAGATACCCGATGCCCGAGCTACCACGACCGACATGTGGGACCACGTTTTATGGTTCACTGCCAAAGGCAATGTCTCTTTTTTTAGAAAATTTCTTGTATGCCCTAGAATTTCGACCAATTCCTTTTGTACCTATGAGTTGTGCTCACTCCCTTTTATACCTCCAAATTTTGATTCGGATTCTATCCATACATTTTTGTTAGTTAACTGTCTAATTTCTATAAAAATATATATTTTGCTGTTAGTCATGGAAGAAAGAAATTATGGAGTACTATATTGTTGAAGTCTAGAAGTTTGTACATAGGACTTATATATTTATGAGTTTGTTGTGTGAGATATTATTGTCAGAAGGTTATTTTTAGATTTCATAGCAAAACATAACATTTATTATTTATTAACAATAGTATATGTAGCATATTTTTGTAAAATAGTAGCACAACAAATTTGTTGCATGTCATAAGTATTATCCCAAAAGAAATGCTACAATGACTAATTGTTGTTTCCATTTTTAAAAAAATGACATTTTTTTAAATATATACTAAATTTTCTGCGTATAATATTTTCTCGTTCAACAAACTTATGAATATGATAGTCACACAATAAAAGATTTTTATAAATTTATGCATTGTCCAATGGCAAAATTGACTTCTTTTTTTACATCATTAAAACAGTTGACTAACCGAAAAAAGTATGGAAGATATCAAAAACCAAAATTTAGGATATATAAGGGAAGAAGAAAAACTCGGGATCATGGAAAAGATTGGCTAAAATTTCTGAAGTACACAATACAATGTCACCTATTTTCTTTTAAATTTTAGGGGACTTCTATGGGACAATAAACCTACCAGGTATATCAGGTGATATCTCATAGGTATCTGAAGTACACAATACATTGTCTTCTATTTTTCTTTTTAATACATTGTCCGAACAAGATACCGTCCTGCAATATATCGAGCAAGGGTGTGTTTAGTTCGTGAAAAGAAAATTTTTGGGTGTCATATCGGAAGTTTGATGGATGTCGGAAGGGGTTTTTGGACACGAATGAAAAAAACTAATTTCTTAACTCGCCTGGAAACCGCGAGACGAATTTATTAAGCTTAATTAATCCATCATTAGCACATGTGGATTACTGCAGCACTTATGGCTAATCATGGACTAATTAGTCTCAAAATATTCATCTTACGATTTCTATACAAACTATATAATTAGCTTTTTTAATCTATAGCTAATGCTTCATGTTTATATCCAAATATTCAATGTGACGTTTTTAGAAAAAAAATTAGAAACTAACCAGGCCTAAGGAAAAAAAGGGCCCAACGCCAGTGCCCGACTTACCGGTACGGCTACACACACGGCCACCCGCGGGCCACCGTGTCCGCTCCGGTACCCTCCCGGGTCCCGGCGCGGCGCCCATCGCGCGCGGTTTCCGTCGTCCACAACTCGTCGCGGCGCGTCACGGAACGGATGATCCACCGACCCGGCGGCCTCACGCCGTCACGCGCCGCTCCCCACCGGTCTCGTCGCTCCTCCGTGGCGTACGTCTCTCTGCCGCTGGATCGCAGGGGAATCGCCTGTAAAACGCGCCGGTTTTCGCGTCTCCCGACGTCTCCATCCATCCATCCATCCATCCCGAGCCCATCCCGCCGTGCAGGGTGCAGCTGCTCGTGCCGGCGATACGCACGTACTCCATGTCTACTACAGTACATGAGTACACACATATACTGTATCGTTATGGTGGTATACATACGTCCAAGTGCATGCGAGATCAGATGGGATCGTAATCTGTCCAGAAACGTACATTGTCACCTGCCCTTAACACCAACACGTACGTATCGCTACGTTTATACACATTTGGAGTACATGCGTGTACCGTATCAGAAAGCGCATGCCTGCAATCTGCAAAGCAAAGCGAAGGACGGACGACGAGACAGTGGTGCATTTATGAGACGTGCCATTATGCGTTCGCACGGGCAACCTAGCTGCTGCCTGAAACACTACTCCGTATACTGGTAGAAGTAATACTACTAATAAATTACCCAATTGAATTAACGTCCGGCACGAGGAACGTCTGAGAGTGTACCGCCCACCAGCAATAGCTACTGGATCGTATAGGGGGCGTCTCGCATATCATCGCATCTACAGTACGCCAGTACGATGGAGTTGTCTTTAATTATTGTACGTACGTCGCGCCACATTTGGATAGAGCAGATTTTGGTCGCCGATTTGACCACAATTAACCACGGGTGTCACGGGCAAAACATGTGTAGTGAAACACGAAGAGAAATTCCTTTTTCGACGGAGTTCAGGGGCTTATTCACTTTGCTATTATTTTCAATCTTATCAAGTTTTGATATAAGATTACTAAAATTTTGACAAGTTTATCAAATTTTGGCAAGATTCCATATGTACTTACTAAAATTTGATAACAAACTAAATGTAGCCATTTTTTTAATTTTGCCATAAAAAATGTAAGGTTAAAAATGGTAGTGAAGTGAACAAGCCCTTAGGTCCAAAATTTTTATTTGAACTTCCAACTTTTCTATCACATCAAAACTTTCCTACATACATAAATTTTCAATTTTTCCGTCACATCGTTCCTGTCACGTTTGATGTCGCGATTCCGGTATTTGCATAGTATGGAGATCGTTGGTACTAGAGTATATGCGAGATTGAGGTAAAAGAGATGGAGACAGGGATTTTTATACAGGTTCGGGCCCCTGAATTGTCAGGTAATAACCCTACATCCTGTTGGCCGAAGCAGGTATTGCTCTTATTCACCATAATCACACCAGTACAATATTTGGGGTAGCCTATCTAACTGTTGTTGACATGGCGGTCTGAAGGTCTGACTCGTAGTCGACAACAAGGTAGTCTTCCTCTTCGAGTTTGTGCCCGGCGAGATTAGAGACGACGCTAGATCCCTACGGCCGACCTCTGTAGGTACCGGACAGGGTCGATCCAGGCATATCTCTGATGTCGATATCCGGCGGCTTATCTTGGTGTATGTTGGCTTGTATATTGATCTTGTGTCTTGATCTATTATTCCGTGTATGTTGATTGTGTCCTCTCCTCCTAGGGGGTCTTGTATTTATACCCATAGGTGTCCTCTTGTCCAAGTAAAACTAGGGAAACCAATATGGATACAATCCGAGTTGTCCTTGTCGTTTCCATGTAGAATTATGGTTGTCTTTCCTTATCCGGAACTCCTCCTATATTCACAGGTTGTTTCCGCATAGGATATGGCATGTGGTGGGTCCTGTAGAGATTTAATCAACTCCTATTAGATATGTGTTATACATAACCCTGATAGTTTCAGTTTTAACTAAACTTCTAATTTTAACGTTAACTAAACACACCCGAAGCAGTAGGAGTATTTTCTCGCGTAGGAGTAAAAGTCCATATGCATGTAAAAATTTAGAGGTGGGGTGGTGGCAGCGACATCCTTTTTGCCAGGTGGTGGCATGCGGTTTCGGCAGGATTGGGCAGCGACGCCAATCCAATCTGCTTTCCGCCGTGACGCGACGTGCGGCGGATCAAACAGGAGGGAGACGAGACGAGATGGTCCTGTGAATCTGTGATACTACTCCGGCTACTGCTGCGCCACAAAGCCCTGTGATGAGTTGACTTATCCCTGTGCGTGCGTGGTCTATCTGCGATAGCTCGGCGATGGGAGTATGTGCAAGTACCAATGCGCCGCGCCGGAGTGGGACTGGACCGGACCGTGGCGGATGGAGGATTGGGCGAGCGAGAGATGGGCGTGCGACAGTACGAGTCCGGCCGGCGTCGTGATGACCATTACCTTTTCTATTGGATTATACTCCTCTCGTACGCGTCCGTCCCTCCCGGTCGCTCCAACGCATGCAGTATTCCAACTATCCAAATTATTTATGCTGCTGAAATGTTCGCAGTCTAAGGCCGAGTTTAGTTGTAAAACTTTTTTTCAAACTTTTAACTTTTTCATCACATCAAATCAAAACTTTCCTAGACACAAACTTTCAACTTTTCCGTCACATCGTTACAATTTCAATCAAACTTCTAATTTTAACGTGAACTAAACACACCCTAAGGACCTGAATAGTATGAATGAAAAAAACGTAGGATTAGAAAAAACAAAAAATTTTAACAGGAATGAAAGTGCAAAATAGAGGATTGTAAAAACACATGAATAAACATTTTATTGGATCATAGGAAAAACATAGGAATAGGATGAGAGAGATAGAATTATAGGAAATTTTTCAAGAGGCACTACGCCAGATCCTCATAGCTTTAACAGCATATCTGTGATGGGCATAAGTGTTGGTCAGTGATAAATGTCACTTTTGACGGGTCCTACAGGATGCTTTCATCGGTGAGCCATCCGGCTGCGACCCGTCACAGGTAACTAGTCACCTGTGACGGGTTGAAAATGAAACCCGTCATAGATGAGGTTACCCCACCTCAAACGGGTTTAAGTCCTAACCCGTCACAGGTGACTAGTTACCTATGACGGGTCACAGTCGGATGGCCCGTCAGAGGTGAGGTTTACTCACCTCAAACGGCTTTAAGTCCTAGCCCGTTTGATATATATATATATATATATATATATATATATATATATATATATATATATATATCCGAATCTTACACTTGGAGGAGATATTTCCTCTCCCAAGGGGGCCCACGGGAGGAGATAAGGCCGGCTCCCTCTTCTCCACTTCTCATCTATCTCTTCCACTTCTTCTCTATCTCTCCTCTCTTTCTCTATGCAGGGGAGGGAGGGGAGGCGCGGCGGCGCTGGCCCGGCCGCCAGATCCGGCAGAGGCGGGAGGGGCGGGGGCGCCAGCGCCGGCCCGGCCACCAGATCCGGCAAGGGTGGGAGGGGAGGCGCGGCGGCGGCGCCGGCCTAGCCGCCAGATTCGTCAGGGGCGGGAGGGGAGGCGCGGTGGCGAACGACGGATCTGGAGCCGTGGCACGGTAGCGGCCGATGGCGGGAGGGGAGGCGGCCGAGGCCCGACGGCGGCATCGGTCTCCACCTCCGCCGCCTCTGTCGGCGACACCTCCAACCGTGCCTCTGCCTCCGCCCGCGCCAGCCGGCCACCACCTACGCCTCCACCTCCCCCCTCCTTCCCTTCAGATCCATCACCGCCACCCCCCGACGGCGCCTCCCCCGCCTCCCGGCTGCCAACGCCATCGACGCCTCCCTCACCTCCACCACCGACCGCGCTAGCCGCCGGATCCGGCCTCCACGAGGCCGGGGATGCGCAGATCTGAACACTAGTTGTCGGTCAGTTTGAAGTTTTTGTGATGGTGATGCGGTGACAGCAAGCACCACCATGGCAGCGTGCGCCAATTTTCTTGCTAGGGTTTTTTCACTCCTGTGATGGGTTGCAATCTATTTTTCCTTTTCTTTTGCTGGATTATAGACATCACTGACGTCTCACAAACTAATGGGCCGTTTGAGATAATAGTTACCTGTGATGGGTTCTATACACGGCTCGTTATAGGGGCTGGTCACCACTGACGGCCCTTCACCCGACAAAGGTGAAGAAAGTCATCACTGACCACTAATCTCTGACGAGGGGCCGAATCCGTCAGAGGTGATGGTTTAGGCCCGTCACAGCTAGCATGGTTCGGCATAGTGAGGTTGAAACTCTCGCTAAATTTCCTCCAAAATCTTAGGTTTGTCCATTCCATAGGATTTTCAAATGATATGATAGGATTCAATCTTTTGTTTCAAAGGCATTCATAGAATTTTTTTCCTACAGGATTGAAATACTCCAAAGTTCCTATGTTTTTCCTCTAAATCAAAGGTGCCCTAGGTTTCGTTGCCCATATAGCATGTAGCAGCATATCACGTAAAAGTTATAGATTTGTAATAATTCCCCACAATATTGTTACAACAAATTGAAATAGACCACTAATGTTGCAGCAAAATGATAGTTTTGTCAATATAGTTGTAATTTTTTGAAATTTAATCTATATGAATACATCTTTTATGTACTAGTACATGTTATTGGCTGTTTATAAAACCTAATGCCAAAAAATAGCCTAAGATCAAGAAAATCTTAAAACCAACTTAAAATGGCTATGGCAGATGAGCTAACAAGCAGATGATAAGATACGTATAATCCTTGGAATGATAATTAGATGCGATGGTGGAACAAAGATGAGCGCACGCTTTCGCTAAGGTGGCGGTCCGTTGCAACGAAGCATTACGTTTGGTTGCATCAAAAGCGGCATAGGAAAATGGAGCGCTGCAGCTGTACGTAGTACTACGTATTCGTGCCGCCGTACGTGCGCCCCATGTCTGTTTCGTTTAAAAATGATGGCCCGATGCGGGCAAAAACTGGTAGTGCCACTCGATCCTCCACGCCTCCTCTTCCTGCTTTCTTCGCGAAGAGATGGGAGATTCACATGCATGCTCTGATGCTCGTGGAAGAAAAAGGCTGCAGCAAAGCAAAAGAGATGAGAGACGTTTTCGTTGTTGGCACTGTTGCATCCCGTCACCCTTTTTCTCGGTTTTGTGCTGCCTTTTTTTCTGCCCACTTGCTGCTTGAACTGGACCATGTGTTGATTTGCCCCCCTGAATCGTTGAATCGTAGGAATGAAAAAACAGAGGAATAAGAAAAACACAAGATTCTGACAGGAATATAATTGTAAAACAGAGGATTGCAAAACACAGGAAAACCATAGGAATGACCGTTTGATTGGACCACAGGAAAAACGCAGGAATCAGATGAGAGAGATAGACTCAGAGGAAATGTTCCAAAAGGTTAGACCTCTTACTAACTTTTCTCCAAAATGTGCATAGGATTACCCATTCCATAGGAATTTTAAAGGATTGGATAGGATTCAATCCTTTGTTTCAAAGGTCTTCATAAGATTTTTTTTCATAGGATTGAAATCCTCCAAAATTTCTATATTTTTCCTACAAATTAAAGGGGCCCTAATTCTTTCTTGTCAGTATGTTTGCAATGCAGAAAGGAAAAAGTACGAATTATCCCCCTGAACTATCACGGTTGACCGAATTACCCCATGAACCATAAAACCGGACATTCTTCCACCACAACTATACAAACCAGATAAATTACCCCCCCTCGACCCAATCCGCTGTGGTTTTGATCTAGGTGACGTACGCGTGGTAGTCCAGCGTGGTAGTCCAGTAACCATTCTATTTATTAAAAAATGTGGGACCCACATGTCATACTCTTCCTCTCTCTTACTCTTTGTCTCACTCTTCCTCTCTCTCTTCTCTCTCTCAGTCTCTGACAGCGTCGACTCCTACGAGCACATCCGTGCAGAGGAGATCCGGGCGCTCGTTCGCAACCTATTTGGATGTGCCAGCCACGCCGTTGCCGTGCGCGAGTGCCTCGTGAACGCGACGCTGCGGAACATCCTCCACATGTCGGTCGGCGAGAAGTGGTCGGGCGTCTACGGCAGCGCTGATGGGGAGGTGTTCCGGCGCACGGAGAGTAGCGCGGTGACAATGGAGTGGGCGATGGCGGAGCTCCTCCGCTGCCCCGACGCCATCGCCACCGCCACCGACGAGCTTGACCGCGTGGTGGGGCGGGCGCGGTGGGTGGCGGAGAGCGACCTGCCGGACCTCCCCTACGTTGACGCCGTCGTGAAGGGGGCGCTGCGGCTGCACCCGGTGGGCCCGCTGCTCGTCCCGCACCACGCCATGGAGGACACGGTGGCTGCTTGCAACGACGTCCCTGTCGGCACGCATGTACTGGTGAACGTGTGTGCCATCGCGCGCAACCCGACGTCGTGGCCGGACCGCCTAGACGTGTTCCTGCCGGAGCGGTTCCTCCCTGGCGGCGGCGCCGGTGGAGTCCCCTGCCGCCATCCTCCGCATCACCCACCGCCGACCACTTCTCCGTCACCATCCTCGTCGTCGTCTTCCTCATCCCCCGCTGTCGCAGCCTCCGCGTCACCCGCCGCCTCCGCTCCGTGTCTCCCGCCGCCGCCGACCTGTGAGAGAGAGAAGAGAGAGAGAGGAAGAGTGTGTGGGTCCTATATTTTTTTATAAATAAAATGTTGACTGTACTGCCACGCATACGTCACGTAGACCAGAACCACTGTGGATTGAATTGGGGGTAATTCGTCCGATTTGTGTAGCTAGAGATGGAGAATGTCCGGTTGTTTGGTTTAGGGGGTAATTCAGTTGATCGCGATAGTTTGAGGAGGGATAATTTGTACTTTTTCTATGCAGTAACTTCTGAAGTACAACCTACTCCTCCAATAGACTTGTCTCATTAGCTCACAGTACTACATCCGTTAAAAAAAAAGCTAATCTTCAGCTATAAATATAGATAGTCTATATCCAAATTCATAGTGAAAAGTTAGTTTTTTTCCGTGAAACGGAGGAAATACGGTACTTATAGAGAGCTCATGATGTACTGTCGCGTTTATTTGTTCGTAGCAGCTTATTCATTGGTGACGGATAGGATTCATCGGAACTCGGAGGATGGCCACGCTACGCTACCATTGCGAACGGAACAACAATCGGTGTGAGAGACAGAAGGCCGCATTTTCTGAAGATATTAAATAAAAATCTGATCTTTATATTCACCGCCTTACAACTGAATAATAATTAAAAAAACACAGGACTAGAATACTAAGCTTCGCATCTATATATTTTTCGTCTTTAGTCCAGCTTCAAACTTGCTCATTTTTCCTTCTTAAGACAACAGTGCATCACTCATTCTCTCTATTATATCAAAATCGTCCTGCCAAAGATCAGTTTTTCTTTTTTGCCTAATGAGATTTACAGCACAAATCGTTTCAGGAAAAGTTAGAAGAATTTGACAAAGATCAGAATTAGTTACTTGTCATAAACTATTATATCAAAATCGTCCTGCCAAAGATCAGTTTTTCTTTTTTTGCCTAATGAGATTTACTGCACAAATCGTTTCAGGAAAAGTTAGAAGAATTTGACAAAGATCAGAGTTAGTTACTTGTCATAAACTATTATATCAAAATCGTCCTGCCAAAGATCACTTTTTCTTTTTTGCCTAATGAGGGGAGTAGGAGTATCAGTTTTGTTTGGGGTTAAATTGATTTTGGCCGTTGTTTTCTTAAACGATGTCAGAGTGAATCAATTTTTTAAAAAAATCAGACGGTACAGCTCTGATACTAAATAATTAGATTATTCAGAAAATATTATTGACCAATGTACTATCTCCAAATCAAAATCAATAGTAGTTATGAAACCGACAGTTATGTTTATATGTGAACGGGGGAGTATTACGTGCTACTACGCAAGTATCTGCTCGTGTTGTGGTGAGTTTGTTATCTGAATCCATGGTTTCCTAAACCTCCGGGGCTGGGGTTACCGTGTCCTGGCGGTAAGCACGGTTACCGTGCAGTAAACTTGGCAAACCGTGTAAAATTTATCAAAATTTTAAAATATTTTTTAAATTTATGGAGGTTACTGTGGTTTTCCTTTAAACATACCTCCGCGGTAAGCGTGCTTACCGTGCGGTAGCATACACAAATTTTGATAATTTGATACTTTACAGAAACTAATTTTACAAATGAATCGTGGTCAAAACTTATTTCAGAAATAACCATTTTGTTCAGCGCCAAATCGTATGACGCTCAACTTAGACACCTCAGCGTCACGTCAACTGGTGCTGAATGCCGTGCCACTACAGATGGGAGGCTGAGTCGGCATGCCAACGTATATCCAGCGCCGTGCTATTTGGTGCTGAGATGTCTAAATTCAGCGCCATACGATTTGGCGCTGAAGAAAAGTGTTATTTTTTAAATAAGTTTTGACTATAATTCATTTGTAAAATTAATTTTTTAAAGGCTCAAATTGTTAAAATTTGTGCGGTGAACGAGGATGCGATGATGGCGGTGATTCATCGGCTCAGCTGCTGGCTGCTCGCTCGCCCATTTCCCCGGCCCGTGTCAGACAAACACAGAGCTCGCCATGCCCGGTGCGGCGGTGCCGGGAGCTGTGCGCCGAGGAGACGGCAGCACAGAAAGGGGATGGATGGAAATATGGAATGCTGTAAGGCATACATCAATCCATCACCCCATGCACATCATGTGTAGTACTAACTCCGTCCCAAAATAAGTGTAGACGTAGATATTCGTGTCTAACGTTTAACCGTCCTTCTTATTTAAAAAATTTATGAAAAATTTAAAAATATTTAGTCACACATAAAGTACTATTTATGTTTTATTATCTAATAGCGATAAAAATACTAATCATAAAAAATTTTCAAATAAGACGAAAGATCAAATATTAAACGTGAATAGTATAAAACTACACTTATTTTGTGACGGAGGGAGTACTTGTCCAGACTACATCTAGCTCCAACGAGCTGCAGCGAGAGAGATGAGATGAGCACAAGTGAACTGGATATTTTTTTCACATTTTAGATTTTTTTTGAAAGATTATTTTACAAATAAACTCCTAAAAATATTTATTCTGAAAATTAATTCTTTTTTGCCACCAACATCATTAGTGTCGTGGTCCAACATGATAATGCCAATGACATTGATGTCATCCCCTAGTCTCCCCGCAGAAGATACAGTAAGTTACGTATACGAAGGACAACGGTGCCAATGAGATCTAAAATGATTTATTTGTAATAAAAAATACAAATAGATCCTTGGTGTTAATAACACTGATGTTGAGGACTTATTTGTAAATTTTTGTATTATAAATATATTCTTTTATTATTATTTTTAAAAAATAGGTGTGCATGGATGATGCATCGACGAGAAGGCTAGTTGGCGATCAATCACGCGCCCACCCCCCCTCCCCGCGCGACTGGACACTGTCACGCGCGGAGAGGGGGCGGCGGACGCGTGCCGCGGGTGAGGAGGGAGAGCCAGTTTTCCTTTTTTTTCCATTTTTTCCGTTTCTGTTCGGTTGTGTTTTCATTTTTTTTTCCGGTTTCTTTTCTGTTTTTTCCCGGTTTTTTATTTTTTATGAATACAAAGTTTGTATTCGTATGTATACCAAGTTTGTATTTATACGTATATAAAGTTTATATACACGTATGTAAAGTTTGTATACGCGTATGTAAAGTTTATATACGTGCATGCAAATTTTGTATACGTTGTGTATTTTCTATTTTTTATTTTTTAATACGTATGTATATAAAGTTTGTATTTATCATATACAAAGTTTGTATATGTCCTATATAAACTTTATATACATCATATATAAACTTTGTATATGTGTATATATTTTATATATATTAAAAATATATTTATATGTATATATATGTGTGTATATATAGTATATACATACGTATAGAAGGCTGATCGCGTATCAGCCGTCCCCATGCATCGATATAAGTGATTTAGCTTCCGTGGGAAAGCTAGCGGGATCTGGCGCCAATAACGTTGACATAGTAAAAAATATTCATTCTCAGATTAAGTTTTTTTAAAAGTTTATTTGTAAAATAAGTTTTTCAAAGGGACAAAAAGTGAAAAATGCAGCACAACTGAACACAGCAATAACTCACGTACTCCAGGGAAGAAAAGAAAGAGAAAAAGGAGAGGTGAGGGTACTGGTAATCAATGGAGGCCGCTGCCACCCCTGAAAAGGGCCCTGTCCTTGCAAACGCACCGCACAGGCTCCACCAGGCTCACACAGACACTGTTGAACTTGTTTGGAGAGCTTCTTCCATAATCGAAAACTCCCTAAACATTTTAGTTTTTTCGTTTAAATTCTAAAAGACTTTAGGTATAGAATTTAGAAAATAATTAAACTAGAAAAAACTGAAAAATTTATTCTTTTCAATTTTTTAAAAACTGAGTGCCAATCAATTAATTCTCAGAATTTAATTTTAAGTTCTCAAACAAACCCCTCTTTCTCCCCTCTCCCAACCCATCCATCACTCATGCACGTCTCACTCAGTGTCTCTCTCCTCCTCTCTGGGCATGCATGCATGCGGCTACGCTAGCTAGGGTGAAAGGGAGATCATCACGTGGAGAGAGATGCAGATAGTAGCACTCCAGATTACAGATTGCAGAGAGAGTGATTGGCAGAGCGGCATGCCCCTCGCCCCACCACTCACTTGGCATTTCTCTATCATCACCATGTACTACTCCTACTGTCCTACAAGGACAATGTACGGCGCAATGCTTTGCTTGATGGAGTATACTCCTATTTAAGATCGAATCTTCAGAAATTTCACTGAAAATCTAACCATCCTGCAGAATCACTAGTACTATAGCGTTAATCGTGTTCTGAAGATTAGAGTGGTAGTATCGCTTTAGGTCCTGTTTGGGAAGAATATGCTGGTTGGTAGCTAGCTTCTAAAAATCGGAAGAAGCTGGATTTTCTACTTCTGAGGTCTAGTTTATTTTCTAGATTTTACAGGTATAGATTCTCAGAATTTAGGTGACAATCTGAACTGTTTGGCGGAGCTAGAAATTCTGGGAGAAGCTGCAGCAGTTAAAAACTCCCCGAAACAGACGCTTATTTTCGTGTGTACTCCAGCATGCACGGATACACACTCTCGGAGGCTCGGAGCTTGCTTTTTTACACCAGGATTTGCAGAGCAAGGAATCCAGTAGAAAAGCTCACAGCTTCACAGTACGACAGCGAGAACCAACGGAAGAAGAAGCAGCATTTGCAGCAAACAAACTTCTAAAACTGACGAAGCATGCTGATCGAATCCGCTCCCAAAATGCAGCTGCTGTTTACTGCAGCAAGCAAGCAACAGTGGCCCCTATCTCTTCCTGCCATCGTCTCCCGGTTCCAGGAGATGCCCATGCCTCTACTACTCTCTGCAGTTTCTTCTGCGGGCAAACCGATCTAGCTCGCTCGAACGGTGCACCGGTGAACGCACCGCGGCTTCGTTTTCCTCGCCGGTGAAACGCAACGACGACGACTGCGACGGCGACGCCTCGCTGTGAAACAAACATATACTCCGGCCTCGGGATTACTGTACTATGGTTTGGAGATCACAGCCGCTTGGAATAAATGTGGCATGTGGAAGAGAAATGGTAAAGAGAAGGCAATGCCTTGGGAGGGATGCTTATCCATTCTAGTAGGAGTACTACTGTACTACCGATGCAGTCACGCAGGGATTCTATATGCTTTTTCATCATAGATGAATGGCTTGAGAGGGTTTAAAAAATCACGTGCACTAACCTTCTCAGTTTTAAAATTACGGTACACCTCGTGATGATCGTTAAACCGTGGGATGGCGCTAACTCCACCCAGAACGGTTTGGTAAACCCTGCACATTGTAGGTCGTTGGCGAAATAGCTATGAGCATAATTTGCCCCGTTTGAAGGGATGATGATGAAAATTAAATTAGCGCACGCAAAATGAGTAAACCATTAACGCACAATTAATTAAGGTTAGAAAGTTAGAAAATATATTTATTTGATATTGTAATCCAACTACTATATAGAATAGAAAATTTTCATATGAAACATACCGTTTAGCAGTTTAAAAGGGTGCTAACGAAAACTGAGGTCAAATATGTATCTTAGCGAAATGAAAAATTAATGAAACAATCGAAAATAATCTAAAGATAAAACTAATATATTTACGTGATTAGTGGTTTAAAAAGAAATATTGAAAAATAAACTATAATAAAAAAACCCTAACATTATATCTAAAGTTAAGTTTCAGATATTATTTTTTGGTTCCAACTAATAAGCTAACAAGCAAACGACAAGAAGCTTTGATAATAGCTATCGTACTTTCATCAACAATTTTGGGTGTCTAATAAACTTGTAACAAGCAAACAATAAGAGGTTTTGGTAGAATTGTACCTTGATCAACAATAGGCTTTATATTTTTTTTCTATTACACAGAAGACATTCATAGCATGTAATAGAAGTACAGATACTACTATCATATTGATACATATGTTCACCACTCTATATCATACGGAGTATTGGCTAGATTTATTTATTGTAACTGTTTTTTATCTTTTATGGCTAAATTGCGGAAAATATTTAATAACC